GAGCAGTGGGGATTTATAGGATGTTCTTAGATTTGATGGTATTGTGACCAGGGCTGAGCGTTCCATAGTGTTAGGGTTGTTATGGAAGGGACATGCAAGTGGTAAAATCAGAGTTAAGTGAAAAGGATAAACAACTAAATTTGAGTTCATAGCTTTAGACCATTACATTTTTATTTCTTCTGAAAAAGTAATTGTTTCACAAAATATTTTTCATTAGTTGTGTATTTATCAGTACTTTTTATACTTCTTGTTGTTGTTATTTTTGTAGTGTTGGAGTTTGAATTCAGGCCCTTATGCTAACTAGCTACCTCTGAGCCATGCTTCCAGCTCTTTTTAATGCTCTTCTTATCTTTTTGATTCTTTGTTTATTTTCTTACTAGAGTTTGGATTTAGGGTCTTCATCCTTAGCTTACTTGCTCAGCTAAAACAAATGGAGTCTTGTAAACGTTTATGCCTGGGCTGGATTTGAACTGTGATTCTCTTGTCTATCACCTGAGTACCTAGGATTACAAGTATGAAACATGGGGAGGCTTTATGGTAGCTATTTTAAAACAGAGTCTCACTTGTTGCCCTTGAACTCTGATTCTCCTGTTTCCTTTTTAGAACATAGGTTGGGCTATTAGTGGGGAGTATACTGAATGATCAGCAAGATAGAATCCTGGCCAAGATGAATGAGGTCACTATTTACTCAGTGTTGGAAATGGACCAGAACAGTTGCAAACAAACATAACTAATCCTAGGGGGAGGGGGGAAGGGAGGAGGAAGGAAATCTTTCTTCTTACAAAGTATTATTGTCACAATAATTTCCTCTAAATAATCACATCCTGTGTGTCAAAGAGCCCTTGATAGCTGATGCTAGGAGTCATTTCTGCCATTGATGAGCAGGTAACCATATATAAATGAGTCAGAAATAATAATTATAATCAGAAATCATCCACAAATTAGAAAGCACCTGTTATTGGAAAACACTTGGTAACAAACACATCCAGGATGATGTCTACTGGCATTTAGCCCCATCCCCCATGACTCCCCATATCCCCTACATACACTTGCCCTCCATGCTCCCCATATGCTCCACATAGACACCCACCACATGTTCTGTTTGAAGTCTTTTCCACCTGAGGGTCAATTGGCCTCAGAGCTGGAATCCTGGGAAAGCGTTCACAATGCTTATTCTTAAGTATCTATCTCTGTCTCTTTCTGTCTCTTTCTGTCTCTCTCTGTCTTTGTCTCTCTGTCTCTGTCTGTCTCTCTCTCTTTCTCACTTCCAGAAGGCTATTTGTTCTTCTAAAGTGAGGGACTGAGCAGAGTTGATATGATGTCAACTTACACAGCTAAAACTGACTGGCCACTGAGATTAAACACAAAATGGGCTAATATGAGGGTGTCTCAATTTAAAATGAAATGAACTATTCAACCATTTTCATCAAGCATTTCACATGGTATTTTGTGGTTCCAAGCTACTGTCTATTGTTTTAACCTTTCATGTGATTCTTCCTAGATGAGTAAATCTATTTCTAAATGTTAGATATTATCTTAGTGACAGGACCCATAAAACATCATATTTTAACAAAGGTCAAGTGTTATTTGTGACCTCTACCTTATCCTAGCCTTAACTAAAATGGTGAACTAAAGGAAAATGAACCAAGTGTTGACTGTAAGTTTAGAAAGAGCTTAGTATTTTCACTGATAGGTTTATTGTGATAAATAACAAGTGTTTCAACCCCAGGTAGACTGAATCTATCATTGATTATTTTTTAAATTATTTTTTAAGAGGAAGAAAATGTCTATTAAGACTAGTTGGTCTATAGAGTTGTTTAGATCCAAGGTATCTCTGTTGAGTTTTACTATCCAGTAGGGATAGTGGTGTGTTAAAGTCCCCAACAATTAATGTCTTTGGATCTTTGTGAGATTTTAAGGAAAGCAAAGCTTCTTGGATAAAGTTGTGTGCTCCATTATTTAGTGAATAGAGATGACCCAGAAACACAACAAATCAAAGAAAGGTTGGACAAATGGGATTGCATGAAACTACAGAGCTTCTGCATAGCAAAAGGACATAGCTAGCAAGATATATAGAAAGCCCGCTGACTGGGAAATCTTCACTAGCCATAAAACAGACAAGGGCCTCATATCTAAAATGTACTTAGAACTCAAAAAATTAAATCCCCAACAACAAATACTCGAAGAAACAACCACCTGATTAATAAGTGGGCTAAAGACTTAAAGAGAGACTTCTCTGAAGAGGAAACAAGAATGGCCAATAGACACATGAAGAAATGCTCAACTTCTCTAGCCATAAAAGAAATGAAAATCAAAACAACATTGAGACACCACCTTATCCCAGTTAGAATGGCTATAATCAAGAAATCTAGTAACAACAGATGCTGGAGGGGATGTGGCCAATAGGGAACCCTACTGCATTGTTTGTGGGAGTGTAAACTTATTCAACCACTTTGGAAAGTAGTATGGAAGTTCCTCAAAAGACCCACATATAAATCCCCTATGAGCTAGCAATCCCACTTTTGTGCATTTACCCAAACAATCACAAACAAGGCCATACTAAAGCTACCAGCACAAATATGTTTATCATAGCATTAATTACCATAGCTAAGCTATGGAACCAACCCATATATGGATCAAGATGTGCATGTATATATATATATAAATGTATGTATATATCCATCAGAAAGAATGACATCGCCCCATTTGTTAGGAAATGGAAAGACTTGGAAAAAATTATATTAAGTGAAGTAAGCCAGACCCAAAGAAACATAGTTTCCCATGGTTTCCCTTATTTGCAATAACTAATATATATCTAGGATAAATAATCTTATCAGACAAGCAGAAAAGGTCAAAAGCTATGTACATATGACCATATAAGATGATGCTAAGTTAGGGACACAGAGGTTTTATCTTTGTTGCTGTTGTTTTTAATATAGCATGTGATTTTTTGTTTCTTTTGTATATTCTTCCCCATGCTATAATCCCTGTTTACATTATATTTGATTCCAGTGGTCTGCATGTTGTAACTACATTTTTCTAATTTGGGGAAGAGAAGGGAAATAAGGAAATGCTGAAACAAAGATACAGGTTGACCCATTGTAACAATGAGATGTACAAGACACTAAGTTGAAAACCAACTTCACAACTTGGGCAGGGAGAGGAGGGAGGAGTTGAGGAAGTGGAGAGGGAAGGAACGGTAGGGGAAACAAAGGAGGGGTTAACAATGCTCAATAGGAAATGTACTCATTACCTTACTCATGTAAGTGTAACCCCTCTGGACAGTAACTTTACAATGTGGGGGTGGGGTGGGGGGTGGGTATGTGTGGGTGTATAAAAGGAAGAAATCAACAATTTTGGTGAAAGGGCAAATTGAACACTATGAAAAGGAAAATGGAGGGAGTCCTTCGGTAACCATAGTAACTCTTCACTTTAGCTCTTATCCACCCAACACACATGAAACAATTGTCCTTTACATCTGCTTCCCTGTCTTGCTGTCTTCATTTTCTTTTGCCTTCCTATCTTTATTTTCTCATGGAAACCATCTATGTCCCTTGGACGATCACTTGTCAAGGTTTGGGGTACAGCAAGAGCTGACAGTGAAACTTGTGAAATTTGGTGACCAGCATTCAGAGTGTAAGAAATCCAAGTTCCACATCTTTATCTGATCAAATTGATGTTAATATACTTACCTGCCCTTAGAACTGAGGAGAGATAGAACTGTCAAATGCCAACTCAAAAGGAGGAAAATAAAGCCAGAAAAAAGTATCTTTAGATTCTGTATCTTATTTTACCCTGTCACTGGTTTGGAGTCACTTTAATAGGATTCTAGCTATAAAGCAAGGAATGGATACTAACAAAGGAAAAATTCAGCATGAAAATCACTGTATATTGTTCAGTTTAGAAGTCCATGCTGTACCCGAGTATTTCATTTCCGTTTGACTCTTTAGCTACTCACTCATTTGCCAAAGTACCAGCTGAAATTTGTTATTTGCTACTGAAATAATCTGGTGTTCCAAGTCTTCATAACTAAAATAATCTGGTCTTCCAAGTCTTCATAACATGAATCATTCCACTAAATCTAAAGTTTGTTATTTTCAATGCTAGGCATTATTAGTATGCTAATTGTATGTTCCACTTTCTGCATGTTCAGTTGTCACTTTCCAATAAACTGTACTTTAATTGCTGAGAACATGCAAGAAATGTTTTAAAAAATCCTCTGGTTCTGTTACTTACATTGCTAGATAAATGGTTAAAACAAAAGTGCAAAATCTTTTTTCCAAGCAGCAGACTCTGCAGATGTATTTGAACAACCAATTTTAATGAATCTTTGAGTCTGTCTTTCCTTTCTCCTCCCTCCCTCCCTCTCACCTTTCTCTCTCCCTCCTTTTCTTCCTTCCTTCTTCCTTTCCTTCCTTCCTTTTTTCATTCCTTTCTCCTTTCCTTGCTTCCTTCCTCCCTCCTTCTTTTCTGAGCCAGTACTGAGGCTTGAACTCAGAGTTTACACTCCCAGCTTTTTTTCTCAAAGCTGGTGCTCTACTACTTGAGCCACAGCTTCATTTCTGACTTTTTGATAGTTAAATGGAGATAAAAACCTCACAAACTTTCCTGCCTGGATTGGTTTTAGACTGAGATCTCAGCTTCTTTACTAGCTAGGATTATAGGTGTGAGCCACTAGCACCTGGTTCTAAGACTTGTCTTTCTTATTCATGTTGGTTAGCTCCTTGCTGTAATATTGAGGCCACCTCATCATGGTATTTTCATCAGTGGAGGTCATTTCAACTGAGAACAGTCACCTTATATGAGAGATAACAGCTATGGTTGCTCATAGCACACAGAATATTTGTGTTTACCCCAGATTGCCAGTGTAGCGAAGTTCACAGAGAAGTGGCTGAAGAAAAAAAACATCAAGAATAAAAGCCCAGACTTATTTTTCTGCTCTTGTGAAGCAACAGTGCTTTGAAGAAAATTGACAATACACTTATTCTCAAATGTTTTAGGTAGCCCTAATGGAGAACCTTGTGGAAGGACTTGTTTGGAAGAGAGAGACAATCAATGGTTGGGGGTCACCCTATCCAGACAGCCAGGAGAAAATGGATCTGTTGTGGTAAGTGCGAAAATTGATCAGCTGATCAATTGAACTACTGATCAATTCTGTAATTAGATATCCTAGTTGCAACTGCTCCATTATTTGGTTGATTTTTTTTGCTCATTTTTGTTTTTGTTTTTCACTTTATTCAGACTTGTGGACATAGATGGAAAAACATATTTTATATAAAGAATGAAAATAAACTTCCCAGTGGTGTTTGTTATGGAATGCCTTCCAACCTACGAACAGAATTGAGTAAAAGAATGTCTCCATGTTACCAAGGTGAGGCATGACTTTAACATGAACTAGATCAAGTGAATGCTTTTTCATTTTTTTTTTTTTACTAACTTTCAGTTTGGAATATTTATAGAGGAAGAAGGAAATCCTTGAAGTATTTATTTAACTACTCTAATTGCTTCTTTTCTTTCTTTTATCTAATTGTAATGTTATTTTTCTTTATTATTATTATTAAAAATATTTTTATTGTAAAGCTACTATACAGAGGGGTTACAGTTACATGCGTAAGGTAATAAGTACATTTCCTATTGAGCATTGTTACCATGTCCTTTCTTTTTCCCTTACCGTCCCTTCCCCTCCCCACCTCCCCAACTCCTCTTTCCCCCCGAGTTGTAAAGTTTGTTTTTAATATAATGTCTTTTACATCTCATTGCTACAGTTTTCATAAATGTCCTTTGTGCTTTTGAAATAGAAACTCTATAACTTCATTTGGATAGTATGAAAGCAAGTTGGTAATTATTCACTTCTGTATTAAATTTATGTTCAATTCAGTGTCTAGCAAATATAAGAAAATTAAAATCTCAAAATTATATTGAAACATCTAGTTAGAAAGAAAAAGACAAGGTTTCTTGCTTTACCTCTAGCTTCCAGAAAAGTGAAAAAGTTTCAAAGTAAAAATGTAAATAAATCTTTCCTAGTATCCCTCTTTTTTACATTGTTCATGTCTATTTCTTGGAACAGCAAGAAATTAGTGCCTTAAAAGTCTTTTCCTTGGAATAGAATGTATGATGCAGATAGCAAATACAGAGCTCATACTAAACATAATGAAAGTGAGCAGTTACAAGTGAATGTTAACCGGACATTTACAATCACATCTGTAACAAAATAATACTCTAAACACGTATCTTCAGAATGCTAAAAACTATGCAAACTCCAGGGATGGGAATGTGGCTTAGTGAAAGAGTGCTTGTCTGGCATGCATGAAGCCCTGTGTTCTAGTCCTCAGTATCACATACACAGAAAAAGCCAAAAGTGGCTCTATGGCTCAAGAAGTAGAGTGCTAGCCTTAAGCAAGACAAGCTCAGGGACAGTGCCCAGGCCCTGAGTACAAGCCCCAGGACTGGCAAATAACTGAACCCCAGATTTGTATTTGTGTTAAGACAAACAAGAACAATACACCCTACCATCCAAAGAAAACTTTTATTAATTGTTAACTTTTTAGTCAAGTACTTGAGTTTAATAATTAATTCTGATAATATTGAGATCTTTTTTCCTCTGAAATTTGATGTCATAGAAGCTTATATCATAAACTTTCTTTTTACACCTGTACATGCAAGAAGATAAAATGTGAATATTAAAATCTCAGTTGCAATAAAACTCAATCTGCTTCCAGGTGTTTATTCCCTTATTTTGCCTGAAATTTTTGGCTAACATTTTAAAATATTTTCACAGTAGGGTCTTGATTTTTGCTCAGATATAGGTAACCACCGATGGTATAACTATTTTTTTATTAACATCTAAGCCAAAAGGAAAAAGTGGTCCAGATTCTTAACATTCATAGAACTTTGTTTATGTCTGTCCTTCAGAAGTAGCAAAAGAGTATCCCATTAGGAAGCTCTGAAGTAAGCTCTGAAATACATCAGGAAGTCTTTGAAATAAGACACCCTTCCTCTCCATGTGGATTTTGACTATTTGTTATTTTCAGTTGGGAAAACAATGTAAGAAATGAGAAATTTTCATAAATGATGTTGCAAAAGTTGGATATCCACCTGCCAAATAATGAAGTTGGGTCTTACATCAGACACAAAAATCAGCTCAAAGTAGAGTAAAGATTTCAATATAAGTTCTGGCGCTGTAAAACTCCTTATGGAAACCATAGGGGAGGCTCCTTGATAGGCTGTGACTGCTTTAGGTGTGACACCCACAGCTCAGGTAACTAAAGCAGAATAGAGGAGTGCAGCTTCTGCCCAGCAAAGGAAAAGATCAAGAGTGAAGCAATACGAGAAAATATGTACAGACTATTTGCTCAAAAGAGATTAGTACCCCCAATTCGTAGTTACCAATTTGATAGCAAAAAGAAAAACCTGATTAAAAATAGATTTAAAAAACCAAATCCTGAATAGCTTTCTGTCCAAAGAAATCATGAATTACCAGTAAAAATATATGAAAGTGTGCTCAAGATCACCAACTCTCCGGGAAGGAACATCATTCCATAATAAGAGCCTCTTATATCTTTTAGAGTGGCTATTCATCAGAAAGATAAGAGATAATATGTATGGTGGAGAAATTAGAATCTTTACATACTGTTGGTGGCACTATAAACTCAGATAGCCATTACAGAAGACTGTATGAGATTCCTCAAAGTATTACAAGTAGAAAGACCATTTGACCCAGTAATTCCTTTGTCTTTTGGCGAATACCCAAAAGACATAAAATGAGTACCACATAGAAATAACTACTCTCCCATGATGATTATAGCACCTTCCACTATGGTCAAAATGTAGAAGCTACCTAAGTGTCCAGCAGCAAATGTATCAATAGGAATCATCAGGCACATGTATAGATATATGCATACACAAGACACACACACATACATATATATCTATATATAAACAATGAAATATTATTCAGCTTTTAAAAAGGAAATCCTGTCATATATGTTAGGGATATCCTGAAATCGATTACGACAAATGTAATAAGCTATAAAAAGAAAGATAAATGACACATGTGGTAGATAAAATGAAACATAGAAACAAAGTAGGAGGTAGTTGTCATGGTGAAGAAGTGAGTTCAGAGAGCATAGAGTTAAAGCTATGTAGTAGGAATCAGTCTAGAGAAATAATGCACAGCTTGAGGGCTACCTTTAACATTATTGTGTATTGCAGAAATTTGCCAAGCAAGTAGAATTTCGTTGCTTTGAACACATAGGAGAGGCCACTATGAGGAGAGTGATTTATTAATGTGAAGAGTAATCACTTTACCATGAGAGTGTACATCAGAATGTCATGCTGAACACCTTAATTATATATAAGAAAATAAGATGTGAAACCAGAGCCACAAATTCTGTGTCTATTTGAGATAACTGTTTTATGTGTTTTTTCAGTATATGATGCCTGTTGTTCCACAGAAAACAAATGTCTTGAGATAAGATTTTAAAGATTAAAAAGGAAGAGCTATCTGATCTTACATTATTATCAATTACTACTATGTTCAAATGAGATAGTACAAAATGCAAACTTTTAAAGACGTACTTTTAAGAATTTTTAAGAAAATGAAAGTTAAAACTTTATTCTAAACATTTTTGATGTCTTTATTTTTAAATATAATCCTGTGCACTGATGTGGCTGAAGCAGGAGAACCATGAATTTGAGGCCAGCTTGGACTGTACATATATGTGTATCTTGGGCTGCATGCATACGTACATACTACATACATACATACATACATATACATGAATTTTACAGTCCTGATTTGTATATATTAACATTGTACATTTCATTTTAGATTATGTAAGAAAATTTGGAGAAATTTTTTCATCATGTCAAGCTGGAATATCTAGTTTTTACACAGAGGTAATAATAGTTCAATGTTAACCATTATGAATGTGTTTACTTGTGGAACTTTAATTCCTCTGAAAGTTTAGAGGCTTTGAAGCAAAAATCGTATACTACCTGAATGTCTCTTAAGTTGGTATTACAGCTAGATTTTTACTATTCAGTACTCCACATAGACACATTTGAGGAAATTAATATATAAATGACCAATACCACCCCACCACTGCGAACTATACTAGAGATTGTGCTTTCATTAAGAATTTAGTAGAAGTTTGAAAGAACTACACTGAGATTTTTAATATTCAATTATTGAAAATATCCATCAAGTAGAATACTTTGCACATTAGTTGAGGAGGAAGAAAATATATGAGTCTACACTTTCATTAAAGTTATGATAATTGGGACACAAAAATTAGATAACGTCTCATTAAATCTGATATATTTCTAAACTTTCTTTTCTGGTACTCTATGTGTACTATAAAAGGTCACAATTATACTCAGGTCTCAATATCTTATGTTCATCTCTTCAAAGTCTGTTAAGGATATCATGAATTCTTTTAATTCAGTGGAGATAGGGCTGCATCAAATTTGTGGTTAATAATTTGTGTAAATATTAAGCATCATATTTTAAAATTAGAATCATTAAGTTAATATAAAAATATGTTAAAATACATTTGATTGCTGTAGCTTTTCATGCTGTATCAGGCGACCCTACTTATTTCAATCTTCCATCTGTTTCCTTTTTCAAAATTCCTATTTATGATAAATCATGCCCTAAATTTTAGTAGACATTTCTTTTAATTTTCTAGGCTCACATTGTTTTCTAAGCTCACTGAAACTTAGTCAGTGAGTTTTGCAAATTACAATAAATTAAGTCTACTTTTACTCACTGGTAACACATGATTATCTTTGTAATGAGCACTAATGAATTACTCACATATGATTTTCTTTAGCAGAGCCCACATTGCCTTTCTCCCAAAAGCTTATTCAAGTGTTTAATGATTCTGTCTTGGGTTTAAAAGCCCTCTGATAAATGTGAGAGTTTCGGAATTTCTTGTCTGAGACATTCCTTTTAGACATAAATCCAATATCCAGCTTCTCTGGCTTTATTCCTGATATGTTTTAAAATTTAATAGAATGCACACATTTTAGAAATTAATTGTGAAATTGTATTTACTTCACTATTACAAGATTGTATATTGGAGGAGTTTGTGGATGGTGAACCTTAACTTTCCAATAACTCTCTATTGTTTTCTTCCTACAGGATTTAATTGTGATGGGAGCCCCTGGATCATTTTACTGGACGGGTTCTCTTTTTGTCTACAATATAACTACAAATAAATACAAGGCTTTCGTAGACAGACAGAATGAAGTAAAATTTGGAAGTTATTTAGGTACTGTAAACATTGATAAACTCAAATTATCTATAACTTATAGCTACTGAGAAATTTTATATGTTTAATTGTATTATTTTGAAGACTCTATGGACAGTTGGAAACAAGTGAGCTACTACTTTATTAAAGAAAAAAAGAATTTGTAAAGAAAAATGTGGAAATTAGGAAGTCTTTAATGCTTACAACATTTTATATACTCTCAACTTCAACTGTAATCCTAAGAGCTGTTTCCTCATTGTGTACAGAGACTAAGAATCTAAAGAGAATACTTTCTAATTCTAGGGACAAACCACATGTACATGAAAATTGTTTAACATGTAGTAATTGATCATTTTCAGTGCACCTATGCTAAGTGATCTGCTAACCCCTGCTTAGGGAGGTACTCTTTTTTTTTTTTGGTTAGATATCTTGAGTTTAGTTTCCCCTTGGTTGCATCCATCAGTTCAGAAGAATCTTTTTTTTTTTTTTTAATGTTTGAGACAGGTCTTACTATGTAGCCCAGGCTGGCTTCTTAAGTGTTGAGATTCCAGATGTGCCCCACCACACCAGGTTCTGGAAGAATCTTTGGGATGGCATACTTTGCCTTCAAGAAAACTTCTGAGTAGAGACTGTTGCTCTGCTTCGCAGGCCCTGAAGGGTATTCTTAGGTGGAATTCAAATCCAGAGATGATGATGGTACCTCTTCTGCTCATTCAAAAAATATGTGCATCTCAAAAAAAAAAAAAATATGTGCATCTCAACACCCACTAGGATGATGCTCGGGTGGAGATAGCTCAACCTCTCAATAGTATCATTTCTATCAACCAGTCAATACTATAGAGAAAACCAGTGTAGAAGCAGGGCATAAAACATAAACAAAATAGTCTGACGTGTACTATGCACATAATGGATTCTTTTCTTTTTTCTTTTTGCTATGCCCGTCCTGGGGCTTGGACTCAGGGCCTGGCTGGGCACTGAGCTTTTTTTTTTTTTTTCCTTAAGGCTAGTGTTCTACCTCTTAAGATACAGTGCCCCTTCTGGATTTTTGGTAGTTTATTGGAGATAAGAGTCTCAAGGACTTTCCTGCCTGGGCTGGCTTTGAACCATGATCCAGGGAGGTACTCTTGACTCCAGTCTCACTTGACTATATGAGGAGAGTTTGCATTTATTGTGCCCATAGTGTGCTCCGATTCTCATTCTTTTCTCCGCTTTCTTGAAGGGTATTCAGTTGGAGCCGGTCATTTCTGGAGTCAGCAGTCTACTGAAGTAGTTGGAGGAGCCCCTCAACATGAACAGATTGGTAAAGTAAGAATTACCTTTCTGTCTTCATTGTTTACCTCAAGAGTTCATACAAATTGAATGAGAGAATGAAAGGCAGAACTGCAAATACTGTAAGTTAGGAATGGCTAGAAATGATGAACAGTGTATCCCAGTAAGAGAAATTGTGAAAGATTTATGGTTTTTAGGTGGAATTTAGCAGAAAAGCTTTAGAGAAAGTTATGTTAGCCACATGAAGCTTCTCTTTCCTAAAAATACATTGTTTATAAATTAAAATTGTATAACGATGTCCAGGGAATACATTTCATTTGTTGACATTTAGTGACAGAAAATCAAGGGAAATTTGAGAGGAATACTAACTGTTCTGATTCTGTGATTGCAGGCATATATATTCAGCATTGAAGCAAAAGAGCTAAATATCTTATATGAAATGAAAGGTAAAAAGGTAATATGTCTCTACCTTTAATATAGCTGAGAGCTTTTGTAAGTAGCCCTGTTTTTTGTTGGTTTGTTTGTTTGTTGTTGTTGTTGTTGTTTTCTCAATGGCTGGATGTGGTTTGCTTTGGGACAGCTTGGTTCATACTTTGGAGCTTCTGTCTGTGCTGTGGACCTCAATGCAGATGGCTTCTCAGACTTGCTCGTGGGAGCACCTATGCAGAGCACCATCCGGGAGGAAGGAAGAGTGTTCGTGTACATCAACACTGGCACGGTAGGTCTGATTGCCCACAAACTGGAAGCCATTTGTGAATTCTGATTGAACTGAAACTGTTGTTCATCCAGAGTTTGAGACTATTGATTCTCAGAATTATTGTATGGACAAAAGTAAACATTCAGATGTTATGCTGATGCTCTAGAAATGAAATGCAACATGGTGATAAATGGGCAACTATTTCATTTGGATCTTCCAGAGATAGGATAAACTATGACATTTGCATGTATTTGCTCTAGCAGTTCAAGTTTCTTTTAGTTTTAATTTGACACAAATCTAACTTGAAAGGAAACTCCAAAAGGTGGATCTTTAAATATTTCTACAGTTAAGATGTTCATATTAGGGCTGGGAAGGTGGCTCAGTGGTAGAGTGCTTGCCTTGCATGCACAAGGTCCTGAGCTCGATTCCTCAGCACTACATAAGCAGAAAAACCCGAAGTGGTGCTGCAGCTCAAGTGGTATAGTGCTAGACTTGAGCTGAAGAGTTCAGGGACAGTGCCCAGGCCCAGAGTTCAGGCCCCATGACTGACAAGATTAAAAAAAAAGTTCATATAATTTAATAAATTACAAAATATTACTGGCAGTGGAAGGGAATTTCAACTTCTTGATTGGAAAACAATTAAAAATAGGATTCTTTGATAGAATACAGTTCATATTGATTTTGTTCTTGCTAACATATGAAATAGATGTCTTTTAAATATATATATAATAATAGTTTAAATAGATATTCAACAAGTGTTTCAGCTTTGAAACATGGGCAATATTTTTTAGTTTAAATTGATGACTTGATGATTCAGTTTCAAGAGTTCTGTTGATCTTATCTCACCAGTCTTTCTTCTTGACATTAAAAACAAGGAGTTGATAGAGCCCTCTTGGGATCTTCTTGACTGTTGCTTTGATTTCAAAACAAAAGTGTGCTTGAGAGAACACAGCAGCATTTAGTCAGGATTAAATGAAGCAATCTCAATCTCAAGAAGATACTTTTAACCTTGTTTAGTCAGGGTTTTCAGATCATTATCTATTCTTAATATAGTCATCTTTAAACTGCTCGATTTAAGAGGAAAAACACTCTAGTCTTACAAAACTGGTCAGATTTAAGTTTTAAAGTTGTGAATATTGAATAGGCAAATTATTCATGCATTGAGATTTCCATTAACTTAAAACCAAATAGCAAAGGCATATTACCTATACAGTTATCATCGATAGTGGTAAATCCCACTTATTTTCTTCCATAGACATTTCATATTTCTCTTTTTATAAATTTTTTTATATATTTACTACAAATGCTGCAAATGTCTCCTATTTTTCTCTTTAGAATTACTTTTTAGAATAGTTTAAGCAGTAGCATATACATCATGAAATGCACATATTGAAACCTTAACTATCTCAGGATAAAAAATAAATAAAAGTACCAGTCCTTCATTAAAAAGAAAAGAATGAGTACTATTTACTAGGCTACCCTCTTCTCTCCCCACTCCCAGACTTACCCAGAGGCCCTTTTGTGAGGTTAATTTACTAATTAATTTTAGCTTTTAAAGCCGTTGGAATAGAGTGCTCTTCCTTTTCTTTCCTTCTAACATTTTAATCTGTAACTCTCTGAAGTGGCACTAACCACTAAGTGGCATAGCATCTATTTACTTGGTTTGCTGCTGTCTGTTCTGCAGGACTGTAGATACCACACAAGAATTACTGTTTACTGTTGTTTCCTTGGGGTTTGCAAGAGGTGCTCTGAAATTATTCTTGCTTGAACTCACAAAACAGTGATACCTGAATTACTGACTTTCACCTAAATCAACTAAAATAACTCTCAGAGATCTCTCATGAAATGTTGGTCTCTGCTCTTTGTGCCTGGAGAATTCTTGAGGATGAGTAATCACAGCTTTTTTTGAAACTCTTTCCTAGAAAGGCATTGTTTTAAGTCAAATCTCATCTGACCTCTCTGGAGCCTCTTCCCTCCTGATCCTTTAAACATATCTTCAGACATCAAGCTGTTCTAACCATCTACCCTGTGTTGATTTAATCACCAGCTGCCATGGGGTATTGGTTGTATATATAAAATCTAGTCTATGGTGTTAGTAGATTTAGAATAAAATTAGTGACATTTAGAAAATATCTGGATGGTAAAAAAGAAAAAGACTAACAAAAGAACTGAGAATAATCTTATTCCTGAGCCCCAAGATCTCAGGATTTGGTGAGGACACCAAACCTGAAAGTGAATAGGGGACTATGGCGTGGTAAATGGAACATGAACAGGGCCACAAAGGGCCAAGAAGGATTCACAGCAGAGGCAGTGGCTGAGCAATATTAGAATGGAAATTTCCCAGTTTGAAAATAAAAGCAGAAGAACACTTCACAGGGACAATGGCACCTTTGTACTTAAGAGATGCTGAATGGATTGGTTTGAGAAGATAGACTTCTAAGTGGACACATTTTTTCACACCAGAGAATGACCCAATCAGTCTATAAAGAGGGCTCACTGCTATTATTGTAACAGCTCCTTATTTCAGCAGCATTGAATATCTTAATAACTCATCTTCCAACTTCTGGGATATCAGTTCCATTGATGCCAAGATACTGTTCCAAAAAATAACTTCAGTCATGTCACTTTTCAACCCAGTGTTTACTTATTTTGTGCAACTTCAAGAGTGAGTTTCCCTCCAGAAAAATGCTATACTGAAAGACTGCAATTGACTTTGTTGTCTTATTTATTGCACAGACCATTCTTAGCAGACAGATCTCTCTCTGTATCTCTCTCTATCTCTCTGTCTCTGTTCCTCTGTCCCTGTCTCTGTCTCTCTCTGTGTATTTTAATGGTAGTTAAAATGTATGTCAAAATTATACCTTGCTTTCAATAGCCTAGATATCTCCCAATATTCTTTCTATGTTACTACTGATGCTTCTCCTCTTCTTCTTCTCATCCTCCTGTTCTTCCTTCTCCTCCTGCTCTTTCTTCTCCTCCTCTTCTTCCTTCTCCTCTTGCTTATTTGTTTACTGCTCAGGTCCTGGAGCTTGAACTCAGGGCCTGGTCTGTCCCTGAGTTTTGTGGTCAAATCTAGGGCACTACCATTTGATCCAAAGCTCCACTTCTGGCTGTGTGTGTGTGTGTGTGTGTGTGTGTGTGTGTGTGTGTTAGTTGAAAATAAGAGTCTCAGGGACTTCTCTGCCTATGCTGGTTTTGAACTGTGATCCTCAGACTTCAGCCTTTTGTGGAGCTCAAATTAGAGCTATAAGCCACTGGTGCCCAGCTCCATGTTTCTTCTTAATGACATTCTTTTCTGGTTTTCTTTAAATTTTTCCTCTACTCCTTATTATTTCCGCAAAGCCATTTGTATTTCTCATTCATTTTCATGCTTGATCTAAGTCCTCTTCAGTCCTGGATTTCTGGAGGCAAAGACCTGTGTTTTATACCCACACTGTTCTTTTGAACTATTTGCTACGAAGAATACCTTGTCTTTAGTGAGAACTCCATAAATACTTGTTAAATTGAATTATCAAAATGATTCAGTGAATTTTCAAAGCTATAGGGATCATGAGTTTGACAATTTCGTTTGTCCTCTGAGCTCTAATCATACTATATATGTGTTGACATATTCAATAAATATTTATTGAATTGAGATGTGTGTGCTAAAGCTTAGTTTGTAGTTTATCCAACTTGTTTGATGCATTAGAAAAATCCATATCCAATTACAGCAGTAAATCATGTGTGAAGTTGTCAGGAGTTTTATCATGACACCTTTCTCTCCCTTCCCATCCAGGGAGCAGTAATGAATGAAATGGAAACAGTGCTCATTGGAAGTGACAGATACGCTGCAAGATTTGGAGAATCTATAGTTAATCTTGGAGACATTGACAATGATGGCTTTCCAGGTAATTAAGAGTATCCAATTTGGTACTTGATTTCTACTTTAAAAATTGGTCATGGAAGAGAAAAACTATCAGAATTGTGTGTTGCTTGACTATCTGTTGTAAATGGAACCTGAGTTATTATGCTCTCTAGTTTTTTTTTTCTTTTTAGTGTTCTATCTGACTTCTCAACATTGTTAATAATGGGTGATATTGAAAATGCCTTCTTTTAATCTAAGACACTATTGATTATAAACTTCTATTACTTTAGATAGCCCTAAAATATGTTGCCTGTTAAACTGTAAAACACACCTACTTTAAGAAGAATCTTAATTTAAGAACTCAAATGGGACAAGGGAATGTAATCTTAACCACATTGGACAATGGTGTCTATCAGTACACAAGGTCCGAGCAACCCCCAAGGAACCTAGCTTCAGAGTTGGACCAGCTCTGGAAGACTCTGTGTTAGGGGCTCCCTATACAGCTGAGCCCTGCAGGAGGATGTAAGGAGTTCAGGAGAGTGGGAGCAGTGCTGAGGACCAAATGGAGCCTTGGAGACAGTGGCTTTCTGCCAACTGCTTCTGAGTCTTACATTTATAATATTCAGAGATTAGGACAATCTGTGTGCCAGTAGCTGTTCTAATAACTTTTTTTTCTGTTTAGAAATGGTTTTTTTACCATATCTGTGAATGGAGAGACCAAACACTCTGTGAATGAGGAGACCAAACACAGAGCTTAAGCAATAGGGGCACTGTAGCATAGCTGCAATTGTTCTCAGTGCCTGACTGGGGAGCTCATTCCATTAGCATTATTACCGAATGCCCCTCAAATCCAGCATTCGGCTTTGTTCTATGTACACAGTCTATTGTACACAATCCTGGGCATGAAGATGATGTTCTTATTCATTTTCTTAGAAGAATTTTAGTTTGTCATTGTAAGAGCAATTCCTTACTGTGTCTTATGAATTAGGGGTCATAACAGTTTTCAAAGTTCATTCTTTCTATCAAGAATTTCCTCCTTTGCCATTATTTGAATGCTCCAATAGATGTTGCTGTTGGAGCACCACAAGAAGATGACTTGCGAGGTGCAATTTACATTTACAATGGCCGAGAAGATGGGATCTCCTCCACCTTCTCACAGGTAAGGTTTTACTTTCTATTCAAGAAAACGGTTTTAGTGGTGGAAATGCCCATCTCTCCACTAGTGTTTTGTGGATTTCATTTTCTACTTTGCTGTTTCAGATAGTTCACATTTTTTCAGTATTTTCATACAGTGATACTAGTTTTATGTTAAAGCATAGTAAATTCTTAAACAAATATTTCATAAATACAAGTTATACTTCATTTCCATTTTAGCTTGTCTTTAGTCTACTAAAGTTTTCTCTGCTTTTTTTTTTTATAACATTTGTATTCTTGAGGTAATAGCCATATGATTTAAAGTATGCCCATTTGGATTTGATTAACTATGACTCATGTTGTAGATAAAGCCATGTTTCATAAAGCTTGCACAAGGAGATCAAACATGTATTCTATTCCATATTGGTCAATGTAGGTACAGTAGGTATTTATGTTCAAACTCTGAGTTCACTTTTATATCTTGAAAACTCAGGACATATCAGTGCACAGAAAAAAATCTACATTCACATGCAGGAAAGAGATCCAATGATATTTTAATTGAAACATTACCCAGTACCATTATTTTTCTTTCTATTTTTGTTTTCTTTAAGTAGTTATACAAAAGAGTGGCCATTCAGCAGAGCACTTTATGAATATAATGTCTCTTGATTAATGTTACCCTTTTTAAACATTTTCACTCACTCCTCCTACCCTACCTTTCCCCTCACTTTTCTTAATTGCTAGGTTATGTATTGATTTTTTGCCACTTAACAAAGCATTTCATGTATACAATGCATTTTGATCTGTATTATCCCTTTAACATCTTCACCTCCTACCCACTTTGATCAGCCCCTATCCTTATTTTTCTCAATTCTGTGGTATATACAATGTATTCTTGCCTGCCTTCTACTCCCTTCCCCCATTCATTCTTCTACCTCTCTCCCTTTGATCCATCTCTTGCAAGTACCAATTTCCTGGTGCAAGTCTTTGAAAAGAATTATGCTTCTTATGTTCACTATAGAGTCTATTATACCCCAGTACCATTATTTTTGATAAGGAAAAAATGTGGCCAAGTAGTTCTCAACATTTAATATGAAAGCCAGGTACTTACTTAGTAAGTGATACTGATTTTCTTATTATGGATAGCAATCTGATGTTTATAAGTCAGTATCTGGCTATGAAATTAGATTCATGGAATAGAGGGTAGATGTTAAGTTGGGTTTTCCTCTTAAATGCTAGTTATTGATCTGGCTAAACAAAAGGGCTTTTATCATAAGTAGGTCCCACTACGTGATTATATGCATCCTGTTTTCCAAGTAACTTCGTTCATTATTTATGTGGTCAAGGAAGTAAATACAGAGCCTGAAAAGAGACTTGAAGAAAATAGTAGGAACTGCCTTTTTAGGGAAAAAATCCTATGCTACATAATTTTCCCATTCACAGTGTAAAATTGTTTTAGTCACAAAATAGATGCCTATTTCAATCTGGAAATTTTTGTGCCTCTTAGAAGTGTCTCATAAACAGATTCATTAAATACAACAACTCCTTTGTACAACTAAAGACAATTTTAAATATAGTTAAGGAAAGCGTCTGACTTAACAAAAATGCATTTTGTTAGTAAATTTGCTGTGGCAGGGAAGGAATACTCAGTATTTAACCAATTCATTGGTTTTTCTATTAGCTATTTAAAAACTACTATTCAAAAACCACTTTCTCCTCCATTTTCCTATTTTCAGAGAATTGAAGGACTTCAAATCAGTAAATCACTAAGGATGTTTGGACAGTCTATATCAGGGCAAATTGATGCAGATAATAATGGATACATAGGTGAGTATAGAATTTTCTATATCTCATAAAATTGGAGTAAAACCTATTGTGAATGCTGCTTTATTGTGTACACAGACACATACACATGCACCCACACAAACACACATATGTGACTTGAATTTAATAATTCTATTTTCCTATATTTTAAAAACTTTCTTCCAAGAAGGGCTAGATGTGGTCAAACAATTCCTCAGCTTTTCATTGTTAGTAAAAATGTTTTATTTCTTTTTCATGAATATTTTACAACATCCATGGAAATAAAACATATGATGAAGCAAAGAAAGAAGGAACTATTTTTCATTTAAAGGGAACTTTCTGGGTGAATGTTTAAGTCCTAATAATTGAATTTTATTTTGGCATGGATTTCATATCATAGATTCTATCCTAAAATTTGTTTAATTGTATTATGAAGAGATGAATGTTATTATTATTACATAGATTCAGACCAATGTGAGGTGAATCTTAAAATGCTTTTCTGTCTTTTCTAATTAATTTTCTCTAAGTAGACTTTTGATATAGACAAAAGGTTGTATGCAGTTAAGTATTTATGGCTGAGAAGTAATTCTCTTTGACTAATGATGATCATTAATCTGGGTTGTTTTTTTTTTTATCATCCAGATGTAGCAGTTGGTGCTTTTCGGTCTGATTCGGCTGTGTTGCTAAGGTAAGGTTGATACATTTCACTGCTTAATGACAATAGGGCCTAATTGTAAATTATGAGAGGCAGCTTTTAACAGCCATAGTAGCCTAATGTAGTAGCCTGGTGACATTCCTTTTGATGTTCTGCATTATAATGACTGGACTTAAGGGTATTTTTCCTCACCTTGAATAATATAAAAAGAAGTCATCAGATAAAGCAGATATTATAAATATGTAAATGATAATTTCTCTTGGTTTGTGCACAGAAATATAATTGGGCATATGTGCCCATAACTACTATGAAGGCAGATTAATGGAAATCATTGGTCAGTGGAAACTGACAGAACAAAGGTGATTATTAGAGGAAACATCATTCTACACTTAATATTGCTAATTTGGTTTCCTTCTTAGGACAAGGCCTGTGGTGATTGTTGAAGCATCTTTAAGCCACCCAGAGTCAGTGAATAGAACAACATTTGATTGTATTGAAAATGGACTGCCCTCTGTGTGCATGGGCTTAACACTCTGTTTCTCCTATAAGGGCAAAGAAGTCCCAGGTTATATACGTAAGTGTGTCCTACAGAACCAATGTCAGGGCCTGATTTGAGCCTTTTTAATATTGTAGACATCCTTTGGGTCTTCTTTCTCTGTCCCAGTGGAGGTCTTCTCAGAACAGAATAGAGCAGCCTTTGAGTTTCATCTGTCTTCTCTCTTGGATTCTTGAGTTGTTCTAATCCAGGAACGGGGCACGTGGAAAGCTGAGTTATTTAGAGGTTGTATCAGGAGCAAGATAAGAATATCACTCGTTGGATTCTCTAAGGCAAACCAGCTGAGCATCATCTAAATCTCTTTAAACTAAAAGGAGCGTCAACACAATTTATCTACTTTCCTGAGTACTTTATTTTTAAATTTAGTTAATTGTGCAAGAAGTAAAACTTCACATAGGCATTGTGCTGTTCAACTGAGCTACATCCCCAGTCTTGTTGAGTTTTATAAAATCTAGCACTGCCTTATCACTATTATACTAATATATTAATGTTCTGGTTATATTATTTTTAAGGTAGTATTAAAATAGCTACTACTAAATTAGCCCATCATAAGAGAGAAACATACATAGGTTTGTCATTTGCTTATGAATAATTCTCAGAAGCCGTGATTCTCCCCAAGACCTGTGTTGACTGTGCTCCAAGCCTTGTAGGCTGCTACAGCATGGAAGGTGTTAAATACTGAACTTAACAAAGGGCATGGAATAGATGTTGCCATCTGAATTAGCTTGTAATGAGATTGAACGATGTGTCTGCTTTATGGGTCTCATTTTTAGTAGTACTCTGGAAAAGTCCTGGCAGAGATTTTGTAACAAAGTGTGGGCAAAACCTTCATTCATTTATTGATTGGAGAACTAACACTTTGGGAACATCATCCCAGAGTGAATTACACATTAGCATAGACAAGATGATGGATTATCTGAAGTACACACACTGAATGGATAGGGTTGTTTCCCTCATGCAAAACTAGGGTTTCTTGTACTGACAAAACATTATTTTAGATATTTTAAAAATACGGTTGGAAACAAATGCATAAAATTCATGAATAATCACAGCGTTGTTATAGAAACATGATTTATAATTGATGTAAAATGAATTCCTGGTTAAAAAAATCAATTCCATGGTAAGCATATCTCATGTAAGAGTTTTGCCTCTTGCTGGAATTGGTTTGTATTCATCCTCTTTACACTTACTGATCTGAACTCAGGGTGATGAATTTGGAGATAGCTATTTCAATTGCAAGTTCTCTTGCCCTAACAGTTATTGGATTCCAGTTATTGTAATTTTAAGCCAATTGATTTGGACTTTATTGTTTATTTTCTAACTAAAAAGATAGTTAAAGATTGCTTGAAATAAGTAAGAGTAATATAGATTTCATGCTTACATTTCTTTGAAAAAGTGGATAAAATATTTCCAGACATGCCAATTGCTTCTAAAATATAAATGAGCATTCCAGGAATGATGTAAGTTCTTTAAAATATCACTTATGAATTATTGCTCCCATATAATGAGTAGAACTCAGGAGACTATCAGACTTAGCTTCCTCTTCAAAGAACCCATTTAGATTCAGGAAATGGTTCTTATTTTCTTGGTAATATCTGACTTGTTTTTTATTTTATTATTTCATTTTTTTCTTATAGGAAGATCTTATTTTCCAGATGAATATATAGCATGAATGATTTGAAATAAATATCATCAGACCACTAGACTATTTGAGGAAATGGGGTGTGTGTGTGTGTGTGTGTGTGTGTGTGTGTGTGTGTATCCGGAACAAATTAACACCTGAGGTTCACCTACAAACTAATGGAAACATAAAAGACAAATAATCAGGGAATAGGATTGAAAGACAGTTAAGAACAAACTATTTCTACCAGGTTTGACTGATGAGCCATGTATATATATTATATATGAAAAATAGATCAAAGGAAAAGAGCAAAGCCCTCAAATCAGAAACACACAGAAACTAATGAACATAAATCTGTACAAAATTAGTCATGTAATTACACAGGATAGATTTATTCCAATTGACTTTTGATCACAGAGCTCTGTTCATGCTTCCTTAGCTAGATGTTACATGAATGAAAAGGACTTCTGATACTGTGGATTAAAAGCTTTTATATTAGGCTGGGAAAGTGGCTCAGTGGTAGAGCGCTTGCCTTTGCATGCATGAGGCCCTGGGTTCCTCAGCACCACATAAGCAAAAAGAAAAAAGCCAGAAGTGGTGCTGTGGCTCAAGTGGTAGAGCACTAGCCTTGAGCTGAAGAGCTAAGGGACAGCACCCAGGCCCAGAGTTCAGGCCACAACTGGACCCCCCCCCCCAAAAAAAAGCTTTTATATTAAGTAAATCACTAAAGGTATTCACAATAATGGAAACTTAGAAGTATGTGTAGCTTTTTGTTATAGTTTTAGTTAGATAGTGCTGAGGGTTGAACTCAGGACCTCAAGCTTGCTAATCAGGAACTCTAACACTTGAGCAATGCCTTCAGTTCTCTTTCTCATTGGGTATATTAGAGAGAGGATCTTGCCTTATGCTCAGGCCAGTCTAGGCTGTGATCTTTCTGCTTATGCTTTCCCATATCCCTGAGTATGGCAGACGTGTGCCATAACAAGAAGACATTAGTTGAGATTGTCTTCATACTTTTCTGCCTAGGCTTCTTCAAGTCTCAGTTCTCCTTTATCTCAGTTCTCTCTTTATCTTCCAGGCTTGTGGGAAGTAAATATCTTCTACTTAGAGAAATAACTTTGAAATTTGTGATTCAGGTTCTTTCATATTTGAAGTTAGTATTTTTTTGTTACCTAATGTAGAGAAGGTAATGTGTTCCCAGCATAACTCTACAACCATTATGTCAAAAAATTATAGATACATTGAGATAATTATTCATATTAACTGCAGATCTCTCCTTACATTTGCAGTTTTGTTTTATAACATGAGTTTGGATGTGAACAGAAAGGCAGAATCGCCATCAAGGTTTTACTTTTCTACCAATGGCACATCTGATGTGATGAATGGAATCATTCAGGTATCCAACAGAGGAGCTACCTGTAGGACACATCAAGCCTTTATGCGGGTAATGTGAACCACCTTTTTATACATGGTATCTTTTCATACAATGTTGCTTAAAGCAATTGTTAACCCTTCCTCAACTGTGACCTGTTACTCCAGCCAAAGTTTTACACAGTGCAAAGCTGGATGGCCCATAGGCTGCTCTCTGAGGCATCCTTACCTCACATTTTCCACATTTTAAAAATTTGTCTTTCTCCTTCCTGTGATTGCTATTTTCTGGCCCTGTGTGTCCACTTGTTGGGAAATGTGCCTACTGAGTAGCATTGCTGAGACTCAAATCTATTTCTTGGTTGGATAATTTTCTTTTTGGTCAGCGGAGGGAGTGATTTGAGGGAAGGCGGGCAGTTGGTTTATTTTTTATGGAACTCCAATGAAGCAGACTTCAATATGGCCGTCTTTGGATTCTTTGTCTCTGTGCCAGCCTCGTCTGTGTCAGTGGGAACTTTCACAGTTGTGAGATGGATAGGGATTATTTGTGGGCCAGGATGACAGCACTCACAATGCTTTGGGGCATGTCCTGCCAAAGCACAGCCAATTTCATGTTTCTTTTATTAAAACACTCATTCTCAAAACGATCATCACACTCCTCACGTTGGTCAAATTTTAGCATATGAAGCAGTGCCAGGTCTTTTTGATTAAAGGAGGATGTATTTAATCAGAGAATCTATTGTCAGAAAGAAAAAAAAGCCAATGTACCCTCAGGATTTCAGGGATTTCAAATAGTTTTAGAACTTAATTTTTCCTTAGATAACTTATACCAGGCAAATGCAGAAAAGCATCAAAACTCCAATATACTGTGAAATGCTAAGAACAGTCATCTCTATGCTATTTCCTCATTTCCCTTAATGGTTTTTTATTGTTATACTAAAATACAACTATTAGAGGGTTCACAGCCAAAAGTATTGATGTAATCATGTTGCATGGTAGGGGTGCTAGAAGTTCTTTATTTTTCATCCTTCACTGATGTGGATTTTCTCACATAAAGTCAGTTTTAGAGATAACTAATTTAGACTGTGTTAAATACCATCATTAGATGTTTGTGAAAGGCATGTTGTGTTGAAATTATAAGGCTGGCAGAAAATGGATCTGGTTTATTTACTCTTGTGTTTTAGAGGCATTGTTCCTATGAAAAAGCCATTATCTAAATTATAAGCCTTCTTCAGAATAAACTCATGGTAGAAATTAGAATGTGGTAAAGGTTTCTATGTTCTGTTGCACACATATACCTGTAGTGTTACCATGGTTCGGAAGTCAGCAGATGCAACATTGACTTTGGGCCATATTGTGAATGTTTATCAATAGTACATAATACCAGAATTGTTATTAAATGGGGAGTTCACTCATTTCCTTGAGTATCTTCTTTTCCATTTGGAGGTTATTTGCTTTTGTTGTGAGCTACCATTTAAACTCAAAGATAGGAAATTGAAAGCCCTCATTTGTAGTAAACTCACGGAGGGTGTGGGAAGCACGGAAGCAGCTGCCTAGCTGCTTCCTGCTTCCTAGCTGTTCCCTGGGAGGAGTCATGACTTGTACTCCCACCTGCACCCAGGCATTAGGAAACAGCCTTGCTATGCATCTATACTTGATAGCACAGAATGGCAACCCAAATTCTTCCATCTTTCTAACAATAGTCAAAAGAGAAATAGAAAGTGGTCAGGTTGCCTAGATGGATTGTGTCTGCCATAAAAACATTTCCAGTATCAGAAGTGTCAATATGCATGCGCATTTTATTTCAGTATCCCTTACAATGAAATGTCACACTTGTTATTCACATAATCAAACCTACAATCCCCAACTGTTAGAAGACTCCCTGACTTCTGGTTGGGTATGCTTTAGTTGTAAAATTGTCCCTGTTAGCCCTACCAAATAAGTTCAGCTTACCCCTTCATTCAGTTCTATAGCTGTTTAGTGAGTACCTATATTGTGTCAAATTCTGTTTCAGACATATATGTATTATCAGTGAATGAAACATAAAAACATTACCACCTTCCTAGAGTTTATAAGGTAGTGAGTGAGACAATAACATGGTGGAAAATTGAACGTTATAGTATTTTAGATTGTATGGCTGATGACAAATAGGAAAGAACAGAGTATGGTAAATGGCAGAGTGATGGAGAATAGAGGATTCAGTATAAAAATGGTGGTACATGGGCTACATGTAGAAAGTACCACATTTCTTCTTGTGTGGATTATAGTTTCTTTTAAAGTATGAAGATAGGAGATTATTTTGGAATAAGGAACACACCAGTAAAAGGGGACAGAGAGAATGTTGGGCATGGATATTATTCAAATACATTATATGCATGTATACAAATACGATGAAGCCCATTAAAACCTTGGCAAAAGTTGAATACAATAACCTAAAATTAAGACAAGTAAGGGAAAGAGTGGGTTAGGAGGGATGGGTGAGAATGTTGAAAGGGGTGACATTGATCACGATGCAATATATTCATAAACTGCTTTGGTGAATAGCAACTCCTGTGTATAACTACTTAATATTTTTAAAAGGAAAAAACAAGGCATATAAGAAGCTTTAATGTATAAATAAAACACAAATTCCTCAGATCTCATTATAAAACTTCTATGTGAGAAAATTGAAACATGTTCTATTGTTGAGGGCATTTGTCTTAGAAAGGATGTCCTTTTTCTCTCATGTAGATGTACACCCAGTTCTCTACCACCTGCACCACACTTATTAGATAAATGGGTTACAGTTTCACATGGTTATCCTGGTTCAATTCACGCCTATGCCTTGCTCTTACAATCTCCCTCCTTAATCTCATAACAGCATCAGAAAGGCATTGTAAAAGCAGAGACATTATATGTCTCCCAGCTCTTTAAATAAGACCCTCCTCTGCTTCTACTTGTGTGTGCTCCAATTATTGGTTATAGGTCATTACAAGAGTAGTGACTTCCCATTTTGTATCCCCAGATTCTCTACTGTAAACCCCTATAAATACCTTCAGATGTTTATGCCTTGACATAATTTTTAATTTAGTATGGTGTGAGTATTTTGTACTCCCCAATTCAAATAAATTTTCAGTACACACACATAATAGGAGGACATGACACTACAGTCTAATTGTAGTTAACTTGAAGTATAGATTTCCATGAAACTCAGGCAAAAAGCAGAACTACTGTAATTTTAGGCATGTGCTAATTTACATGCTTGTGCATACCCTGTTTTATGTTTTTATCCATAAAAATGTGGCATGAAACTTTTATTTTTAGTAATAGCACATAGCCATCCAAATGAAAATTTAAAACCAAATCATCATCTTCCCTCTCAAATACTTAATTTGTCACTTTAAGATTTTTTTGATGTTACAGCTTTTGTCTTTAGGTGGAGTTGTTAAAGTTAAGTAAGTGTGAATGTCTGTCAAATACAGTTCTTGCAAGAGTGCACGTTCATTTTATATATTGAGAAAAGAGCATAATTAATAGCTAATTAGGATAATGAAAGTAATATACACCAGATGTAGAGAAGACCTTGTGGAAATTTAGTATGAATTAAATAACATGTGATTTGGACAAAGCAAGCTTGTTGAGAAGAATTAAAACAGTGGACATGTGGAGGTACAATCAGTGTCTGTCTAGCTCCCTACACCTAGGGAATAATTTAATCAAGTTTGCTATTGTAATACTCAAGTCTTCAAGCTGTTCCATTTTCACAAGGCAATAACTTGGGATTTGGCCTTGATTTGTAGCATTCCTATGTAGTCAAGATTTCATGCTGAGAAGTTCACTTACCAACTAATTTAATAAAAGTATCTCTATGTAAAAGAAGAGGAAAAAGTAATCAGACCACTTCATTATTCAAACTCACTTTCCAAATCTTCCAGATACTATTTCATTAATGGAACTCAAATATTTGTTACATCACTCACTTTCTATTTAATGTTTTACAAATTGACAGTAGTCCAGTTTTTATATTCCTTCTGAATTTTCTTCTGTATTTATTTTAAGAAACAGACTCATTTTAATCCTTGTTTGCCTTACATACCTAAATTTGGGGCATTATATGTAACAATTATAATATCTAATCATCCACATACTTTCTGTCACTTTACCATCACAACGATATATTACCATCATCATAATGAATTATCTCAAATGCAGTACTGCCATTTTCATATAAGAGAACTGAACTGTAGATAAATTATAATAATTGCCTAAGTTACAAATAGATGATGATGGACTCATGATTTGAATACCAGCATTCCACTTCCAGACCACTTGATCTGACCACTAAATATTATCACAATGATGATGTTGTCAATGAGAATAAAACATTTTATCCCTTTTGCTTCTTATTAAATAAGGATATATGATAATTGCATCTTCCATATATTGTGTGTCATCTTTATTAATTTACTATTGACTTATTGAGTAAGTGTGAGCACTGGTTCAAATCCCAGTACCAAAAAATAAAAAATAAAATGAGGTACTAGAGATGCAAACAGTACCAGCAATAATCTATGCAAGAGGCATTTTCCTTATCTATTAAGAATAACTGATTGGTGAGTGTTGAAAATAATCTCCTTATTTACTTTTAAGCAACAATATTTAAACTGTATTCCAATTCTGAAATGACAATCATTAAATAGAAACATGACCTTTTGTCTTATTTCATAGAAAGTCTGCCTATCATAGTCACTGGTTTCTTATAAAAGCTATAAGACTCCAATGTGGTTTAAGAGACTATGTCTAGCCTAACATGGTTCAATACACTTAAATCTCTTTCTTTACTTGTCAAGAAGTTTGTTGAATGTATTCTTTAAGGTAAGAGCCTGTAGATTGAAGTAGATGTATGAAAAGTAAAGCCAAACTGAGCTTTAAATTTAAATTGTTAGTATAAAAGATATCAAAGTTTGTGCTCAGTACTTCAAACCATCTTCTGAGTGTAGTAATAATTCTAAGAACAAAGTACCACTCCATGGATTTTTTGCCCATTTCTCTGTTTGTAGACCGTATTTGCCATTGTGAATGGCTCTCTCAAGTCGTGAGATTCCTTTTGCCTTCAAGTTTTGTTATAATACTTAAGATATTTATTCTATAGATATCATTAGAATGTTTCTTATTTCATGTAACATTTCAACTGAAATTTATTACAAATGCTCATGAATTATTTTGTGTGTAGCATCTTAAGGCTTATGCTCTAGATACAGAGATTGTCTCTTTTGTTCAACACAATTTGGAAATGATATTTCTGCCCAGAAAGAGCTTGGGCAAAGTCCTTTTTAAGAGATATGTTTTATCTGACTTCCACATATTTGTTTTAGATCTTAGAACACTTTTGCTATCTGGTAAAGGGCTTTACTTAGTTGAATCATTAATGTTTTCAAGGCATTTCCTGGATGGTTATTTCCCTGTTTTTGCACATACATGTAATCTTGATATTAATGTTGTATATTTTCTTTTAATGCAGATGTTACTACATCTCTAAATGAAAAGACAGAACAGTCATTTTAATTCATGATAATTTTTTTAAAAGATGAAAATTCCCTGCCTTAAGAAATAAAGAGTAAAATGTATTAATTGACAAGTTGTAATAAACTTGAATGTTTCTTTGGGATAGGGCATAAAAATTTCTTTAATCTAATTAGTCAAAAATGTTTTTGAGGGCTGGGAAGGTGGCTTAGTGGTAGATTACTTGCCTCGCATGCATGAGGCCCTGGATTTGATTCCTCAGCACTACATAAGCAGGAAAAGATGGAAATGTGCTGTGGTTCACATGGTAGAGTGCTAGCCTTGAGCTGAAGAGCTGAAGGATAGTGCCCAGGCCCAGAGTTCAGGCTCTATTACTGACAAAAAAAGTTTTTGACCACAAATTAATATTCATAGGAATGAGAAATACTTTACTACTAGATTAAATTTGAAAGAGCTCCTTATAGAGTTCCTGTGCAACTCATAAATATAGTTAAGAAAGTTTTTGAACTGTAATAGTACAATAACCCTAAAAACCTTTAACAATAAGAAAATTTAATAAGCAGAGGATATAAACTTTAAATATGTGAAGCTAATAACTTTCCTTTGTACCAGCCAAAATTTGTTAGAAGATATAATAGGAAAATGAACCTAAAAAGAATGTTTTGTAGTAGATATAGCATCAAATCAGTCAAATTGAATCCCAGTATTGCTGAGAGGTATAAGAAAGAGGACTTAATTAAATTGAGAGTAACATCACTTTTCTGCACATTACTATAGCTTAAGATAAAATGGGATATAATATTTAGTAGAACAACTCAAATGATTGGCAATATTTATAAATGAACATTTGATCATATTTTTATAATACCAAGTTATAAAAAATGCATAAAATAGTATGGAAGGGAATGTGCCCAAATGTGGCTTTTGAATCTGTTATTGAATGGCTACACTTTTTATTTTTTAATGTTGAGTTTAGCATATGAAACAAATGCTTTCATAATGCAGTTTTATAATGCAATATGTATTTGCATAGATAGCTGTCCAAATACATTTTTACAATTTAAGATTTTCTTTGATTCCATATGTTGAATTTGGCATCATGGAAGAAAGAAGTTTTTTATACCTTTCTGGTGATTATTTTTGTTATTAATTCCAATGGCTTTTAATTTCCTTAGAAAGATGTACGGGACATCCTCACCCCAATTCAGATAGAAGCTGCTTACCATCTTGGGCATCATATCATTAGCAAGCGAAGTGCAGAAGAATTCCCTCCACTTCAGCCAATTCTGCAGCAGAAGAAAGAAAAAGACATAATTAAGAAAACGGTAGGCTTGTTTTCCTTTGTTCAAACATTATGTAATATGCTACAGAATTTTTAGAATATAATGTAAATTAAAGAAATGACGAGAAATACTGGAATTATTTGCAACAATTTTATGGTTTTTAAAAATTAATAATAGATCTATGCTATATTATATTCCAATGGTTATTTTTTATATTCCCTGTAAAATGCTGAGGTGAATATTTTAAAGTCTGTATTTAACTACAACTCTTATTCTTCATTTATGTAAAATGTTGATTTTATATCATTTTTATCCTGCTAGTAAAGAAAAATATGTTTATAGAAAGAAACCATGATGGAAAACATTGAACCATGAGTTAATAATTCCATATCATAAGGTGACTCAATTTATCTCTTTCTCATTTCTGTTTCACTTTCTCGTATCTCACTGTCCCTCCTGTGGATCCTCTCTGTCTTTCTCCAATTTCCTGTTCATGTTTCTTAATTTATAAACACAAATCCTTACATTGCAAAAGAAATTCTCCCTCTCTCCTGCCTCTTGCTCTTCATCTCTCCCTTCCTTTCTCTCTCCCTCTCCCTCTCCCCCTTCCTATCCCCCCATCTCTCTCTCCTTCTTTCCCCATCTCTTCTGTCTCCCCTCCCTCTCTTGGCCAGACCTGGGACTTGAACTCTGGCCCTGGGTGCTGTCCCTGAGCATCTTTTGCTCAAGACTATCACTCTTCCACTTGAGCTACAATGCCATTTCTGGCTTTTCTGTGATTAATTGGCAATAAGTGTCTCAAGGACTTTCCTGCCCAAGCAGGCTTGGAACCACAATCCTTAGATCTCAGCGATCCAAATAGCTAGGATTACAGTCATGAACCGCTGGTGTCTGGTTTGTATTTCTCTTTTAAATGTTTCATTATATGCTTTTTAGCCATATCCCAGGAACAATTGCATTGAAGGCAGAACCTACATGATAATTAATGGAGCTAATTTTCTAAATTTTATCCTAAAAATTTTCCTTTTCACTAACAATGCACTAGAATTACCTGGTTGTCATGTGTTAGAAGTCCTGTTGTTCAGATCTCTACTATCCAACAATACAGAGATGTAATTAACAAGATGTGTTTGGGTATGGTCAGAAGCACACATTCATGCAATGGACAAGAAAGCACACCCTCATGAAATGGACAAATTATAGCACCACAGGATGAAAAGAAAATTGATGAAGAGCATCTTGACAGCTAATATTCTCCAAATAGATGTACTCTTAACTTTGTTTTTTTGTTTTTGTTTTTGTTTTTTTGGTCAGTCATGGGGCTTGAACTCTGGACCTGGGCTTTATTCCTGAGCTCCTCAGCTCAAGGCCAGTACTCTACCACTTTGAGCCACAGCACCCCTTCTGGTGTTTTGAGATAATTTGAGATAAGAGTCTCATGGACTTTCTTGCCCCGGCTGGTACTCTTAACTTTCATTGAATCTTATTTCTCATAAATTTGGGCCTTAAAACTAACTTACTAGAAGGATCAGGTTTTTTTTTATTTTATTTTAGCTCTGCAACTATGTTGTTTGAACCTTCTGAATAAGTCTCAGAACTCAAGAAGTGATAATATGTTATTGATTTGATGTATTAATTTTATTTTCTTTTTGTATCACAGATAGCTTTTTCTTGAAAAACAAAGTAATGTATCTACTGAATGCACAAAAATATAAATATTATCTTACTTTTATTTCCAGATCAACTTTGCAAGGTTTTGTGCCCATGAAAACTGTTCAGCTAATTTACAGGTGTCTGCAAAAATTGGATTTATGAAGTAAGTGTAATCAAGTGTGTTTCCTCAACATGACATTATGACTGTATGCATGTGGGTATCAAAGAAAGATCAGCTAACTCCTTGGGAGTTAACATTATTTAAAGAAGTGTAAGACAATGCTCTTCTGAGAGAAATTAAATGATTTGTATGTCATTCATGATCATTCAAGGATGGCAATTTTCAAAGAATGATAATGTGTGAGCACTAATATTTTATGAAGCATGTTTTAACTTAGAAGATATTTCAGGACTTAATTGTGCCTTGGGATATCATTATCATAGTAATAGTTATGTTTTAGCATTTGGAAGTGGCTTTTAATAGACCTAGGGTGGCAAAACGAGTTTTCACTACACAATGGTTACTTTTTTTATCACTGTAAAAAATATTATAAGTAATATATAAAACAATGTATGATGACGAATTAGGAAATGAAGAAATTACTCCTCTAATGCATATAAAGGGAGCAGAGTAAAAAGAAAATATATGTAATGTGCTTAGAATATCATCTAACACACAGTAAGAGCTAGATAAATATTTGGCAGCTCTTTTATGATGGAAGATAATTTTGTAATTTTGTACTATGTCTACTCCCCTATATTGAAATTGTTTTGTTCATCAGAGAACCAGAGAGAAAACATGTTATATAAGTCAATGGTCCCTTGCACCAGGATTATGGGAGAGGAGAAAAGGAGTGAAAAGTGTTCAGACAGACAAATAGCAAGCTATTTTTAGGAGATTAGGCTATTTAAAAACTTCCAGTTCAATATTGAATGTTTATGTATCTTTCCATTTGACAATCTATATCAAGGTTATACTTGGAATTTCTCCTACATATTAATTACTTGTGAAATTGCCTAAGGAGTGCAAATGTGGGTTTTTTCAAAGGAAAGAACTACAGACCAAATCTTGGGGACTGAGGGGGAACAAGTTTATTTGAAAAGTTTAGAAGAAAAAAAAAGAAACTCTTGTAGAAGACAGAAAGAGGGTTTTCAAAGAACTACAAAGTTCTTGATGAAACAACCCAATGGAAAACAGCGCAAGGTAGAGTTAAAAATGAATCTTTTATAGAGCAATCAGATGGCATAATGAAGAAAATTGAGTTGTCAAAGTTGTCCTCTAAAATGTAAAATTAAAAAAAAAGCTGTACTGTGAAATTTTAAGATAAAATGCCCAGTGCGGTAGAAATCAGTGTTGATGTTGATGATTGAAGAAAGAAGATAATGCTGAGAACAAGTAGGTTCCATTGAAGAATTTTATGTACTTATAAAATGTTACTATTCATAGAGAGACGTAAACATGAGGAATAGAGCAAGAGGAGTATAAGTGAGAGAGAACAACCTAAACCAACAGGGCACTTTCAAGTCTGTGCTTGAAATTTCCTCTGGAGCATTGCACGTTTCTCTGCTTCCTCTTCTGAACTTGTCCTTCAATATCTCTTATGGCACTCTCTCTCTGTCTCCTCTGTTCCACACTATCCTTCTCAGCTCTTCTTGAAGTATCTTTCACATCTCTAAAGAGTGCCACTCACTTCTTTCCCTCAGTGCCAACTTTTCTCTGGATTATCTTGCCCACAAATGTGACCTCATGTAGCCTTCTCACACTGTTAATGCCTGTTAGACTTAACCTGTTGGGTACCACACAGATTCATTCAGTAGATCATTATCCAGGGATGCTGCCACCACTGTTAGATACCAAGACAGAAACTTAGAGTTCAATCTGTATCTGTATTATTTTCTTTTTTTATCTGCTATTGGCATCTAGTTGGTCAAACAGGTTTATAATCCTCTATTCCATAGCCTTCAGTAATTAAAAAGCAGCTTGGTACTGTCTCCAGCTTCTTATTCTTACATACTGCTTTCCCACACTCAGAAACGGATGGCCTGCCTCTGCACTGTCCTGCAAGCTGTGGCAGACACTTTTCACTTTTTTCATCATTGTTTCCTATGTCTAACAGAGCGCCTGAGGTGCTGTAGGTAACTAAAAGAGGTTTGCTGAGAATGGAAAATTCATCGCAAAGGAGACAGCGTGTGAGGAGGGCAGAATCACAAGTGGAAAAGTTTCCCTCGGGAAGAAGATAAGATTCTCCTTATGTTGAGCTAAAAAAGCTATGAAAAGATGCTTGAGATTACAAAATTACAGAATGGAAGGAAAGAAGAAAGGCAGGGAGGCAAGAAGTCAGGAAGGAAGGAAGGGAGGGAGGGAGGGAGGAAGGAAGGAAGGAAGGAAGGAAAGAAGGAAGGAAGGAAGATTTAGAGAATTCATGAATGACTGATATAAAAAGAGATTTGATCTGCATTAATTGAGGGCACAGGACAGTTTGAGGAAGTACGGAACATTGGAAGATTTAAAGAGCTTCATGATAAATGAGTCAGGGAACAAACTAGGCATGAGTAAAAAGGTTGACCCAGTGTTGACTAGCTTGCTAGGTAGAATCACAGACGCCAGAGAATAAATGAAGAACATTCATGAATTTTCTTCACGTTGGCAACATCAGTGGACTTGAGCATCCATGCTCAGGAGTCAAGAAGCCAAGCCATTAGTTATTTGATAGATAATTGTACTTTATACTTAAAATGTACAGATTTTTAACTATTTAACCCCAAAGCTGTAACAATGATATTATTCTGTGCCATCATGTAGCATTACATTTTCATTGATGTATTAGTTATTTATACATTTTCTGCTTACACATTTTTTTTCTAAAATGTATAGTTTCTTGGTGTATGTGCCACCATAGTCCTTTATATGAAGAGTTTTGTGAGGAAAGCTTTTCCAAGCTAAGAGCAGTGATTTCATTTGTCTACATCAGATATCCTTGTCTCCCTGGCCATCTTTCATCTTTCATCTCTCTTGGCCTGGGAGAAAAAAGACACCAAAAATTATGTGAAAATGTTATTAAGAATGCTTACATCTTAGTCAAAAAGAGATGGAATTCATTAATTTAATGAGGTCTGGGGTGATTTTTTTTCCACCATGTATTTTCTTCCAAAATGCTATCTATTTTGTCCTGTGAGTTTGCAGTGACAGTATTTCTCATGGTTTGTGGTAAATACAGGTTGAGTTGAAATGTTGACCAAGTATTTGGTTTTAAGCCTTTGGTTTTTAAGTTTTTGATTTTTATTAATTATTGTTAATTACTTCCTAAGTCTGATTTGCAAATTAAACTCTGTCATCGGTATGTATATACAGAGAGAAACATAATGTAGGGTTTGGTACTATCTGCACTAAAGTCTTGAAATGTATCCCCTGTGAGACATCAGGGGCAATAATGCACATTATGGTTGAGTCACTTAACAATCATGAAGTTTTGATTTTAGCCAAAATCAAAATTAATACTTTCTGAGCACCACCCATCCTTTGTGTGTGGTTTATGCCTTTAGATTGATGCCAGCATGACCCAGTAAGCAGTCAGTCATAGAATGTTTGAAGTAGCACTTGCACCAATCCTGTGCCCGAGGATTTTTTTACATCAATTAGGAAAGTTATACAAGCTCTTTCTCAGGTAAACGATAACTTGTGTTAGGAACTTTCAAATGAGACTCTTCCAATTAAGTTTTCAGACCTGCAGTAAAAGCTTTGGACAGACTCTTTGCATTTTGACATATTATCCTCTCCTACAGAAGTATGCCGCTTACATGTGAGCATTCTCTCTCTTTTTTCAGCAACAAGAGAGAACCTGACCCCTTATGGTGCCCAAATTCTCCCAGCTATTGCTTCACTGCCACTCAGGGTACATATGTGTTCTGGATCTATGAATATATTTACACATTATAGAACCAGAGTCTCGGGGCTGGGAAGGTGGCTCAGTGGTAGAGTGCTTGCCTTGCATGCATGAGGCCCTAGGTTCAATTCCTCAGCACCACATAAGCAGAAAAAGCCAGAAGTGGTGCTGTGGCTCAAGTGGTAGAGTGCTACTCTTGAGCTGAAGAGCTAAGGGACAGTGCCCAGGCCCAGAGTTCAGGCCCCATGACTGGCAAAAAAAAAAAAAAATAGAACCAGAGCCTTTGCCTCCTGCAATTGTAACACCAAGACCAAGCAGGGTTCTGCCTGACTCTGTCTAATCCTGCCATCAAGTTGAGGTTTCCGCCTGCATGTCTAAACACTTTGGATAGCGAAGCACATTCATGGATTTCCACCATTAAGTAAATATGGGCAAATATGTCTTTATGAAGATTGTGAATAGAATAACTAGTCTTGGCCATCACACAGGCAACTTAAAAGCAAATCTTTTGTTTTTGACATAAATGACACTTTACTTCTGTGCCTCTTTCCTACTTCTAGGATAAATGATGCCAGCTTTTCCTGAAAGACTGCTTTCCCAACAGTTCAGGGATGCTTCCAACTGCAACTAATAGTATTTGACTAATAAATGACAAAGTAATTGACTTTGAATAATAAGCAGTCTAGAGGGGTTGTAAATTAGTAAGAAGATACCAAAGAATGAACAGTGATCCTTGTCTTCCTTCTAGTTCTTTTGACATTTTCCTTATGAAGACAAAAATGGCTGCAACCCATAGTAAAAAATAAGAAGATAGTATTTTACTTTGTCACAGGCCACTTGCCACAGGCCATGCTTTTGTCAAATAAATACATCTCATAACTTAGCACAGGGAAAGACAATATCAGTTTATATTATATTTTTATTCCAGCATCTGAATTACAAAACAGTTAACTCTGAAGCCTGATTCCCCTTACAAGGCTGTTTATTTCACTGAGACTTAGCTAACATGTCTTGCAAAATAAAACTGTATTATTCGCTCAGGAAAACGTAGAGCCTGGTGCTGTAGTACATCCATTTTCAATTTTTTCTTTTTTATCCATTAAATGATGACTCCGTGTAGACACAAGACCTTAATGTGGATCCTAGGCTTCTCTGTAAATTTCAAATCTACATTATGCATGTTTTAATGAAGAATGAATGACATATCCCAGGGAAAGCTCTGGTTCACTTTGTCACATGTCCAGATGTGCACCTGGTCCTTCGTTCTATGTCACATAGAACACTGGTGCATCTTTCAGATGCATCTGTTAATGAATCAAGATCCAGTAAAATGTACATTTCAAAGGACAGGATTTCAGTGATGGCAGTGGAGCAAAAGAGCTTTAAAAATGAGAAACAAACCAGGAGTCTGGCTGTTGCAGCGTGAGCATTGGCTCTCTCTAATTTACTGCTGTCTTGGAACCTGGCTGTGTCTGCAGCGCTTCCTCCTTCTGTTGCTTGACTAAGTGCCAGCTTCTTTCCCAAAGGTGTTCAGTGACTAATGCTTTGGTTACCAGCCAGAATATTTTATACACGTCTATTTCTAGGCAGCTCTTCTACAAGTCTTAATTAAACTTTAATGTCAGGTTGAAGTTTATATTGAGGACCCCATAAGTCTTTTTCATTGTAAAGTGATTACATTCTGAGAAGGGGTGTGTGGGGGGGTCAGCTGTGTTCTTCATTTCCCTTTAACGTGATTACCAAGCAGACACCTATTGACCTAGCTCACTACAACATCACAGCAGTTCCTTCAATGTGAAGGTAGCACACAACCAACCACTCTCATTCACACACCTAAAGGACAGCCAGCATTTAGAATGACTGCTTGGTTTGTTATTACAATCTCTTCCAGCACTTTCCAACTTTTCAGACCCAACTATCAGAAAGCTAAAGATAATACACATCAAAGTATTATTTATTTATTTCTCTTTCATATCTGGAGTGCTACAGAGGTATTAAAAAAAGACTGGAGGAGACCAGGCACCAGTGACTCATACCGTAATCATAGCTGTTCAGGAGGATGAGATCTGAGGGTCCCCATTTGAAGCCAGCCTATGCAGGACAGTCCATGAGTCTATTTTTGTCAATTAATTGTATCCCCCCCAAAAAAGCCAGAAGTAGAGTTATGACTCAAGTGATAGAGCACCAACCTTGAACAGAAAAAGCAAAGGGATAGTGCCAAGGCCCTGAGTTCAAGCCCCAGTATTCACACACACACACACACACACACAGAGAGAGAGAGAGAGAGAGAGAGAGAGGGAGAGAGAGAGAGAGAGAGACAGGGAGAGACAGAGACAGACAGAGACAGAGACAGACAAAGAGAGACACACAACCAGAGGAGGCCAGATGTGGTGACTCTTGCTCTAATCCCAGTTATTCAGAGAATGAAGACTGCAGGATCATAATTTAAGGTCAGATTTGGCAGAAGGTAAGATTTCACTTAATCAACAATACATGGAGGCTGTGTATGTTGGTATTCCAAGCTACATGGCAGGCAATAGGTAGTATAATAATGATCCAGGCTGGCCCTGCAAATGTGTGAGAAGCTACTTGAAGAATTATTAAAAGGAAGTAGGGCCAAGGACATGGCTCAAGTGGTAATGCACCTGCCTAGCAAGTATAAGAGCCTAAATTCAAACTTAATACTGCCAAAAACAATATTGAAGTGGGAGGACACTTTCTATAATGCTGTATGGCTTCTGAGCTAAATGCTTCCAGCAAGTCACATCCAAAGTATTGAAGTTTTTGTTCTCAGAATAAAGTAGAAAGGAATTTGGAAAGGTGTTACCTAACCATAATCTCAGCTCTTGAGGCAGATGGATCATGAATTCGAGGTCAACCTTAACCACCAGCACATGTTATGTGTCTTAGCTAAACACTAGAAATCTTTGTACACTCACAGAAGAGATAAATATGACTGTCCAGCCATAATTCTATAGAATTCATGTTGATAATGCCACAAACGTTTAAGTCAATAACTATTCCAATAATTACCTACCTTTTATAAGGTAGGTATTGTCTTCAGTATTATCCAGCTCTTTTTTGATGCTTGATACACATGTGAGCCTGTACACACTTATGCATACGCTTTTTTGTACATTACCTGTGTTGTTAGACTCTGAGAAAACCATGATAATGGTGATCTAACGTCTGTCCTCCAACTAAACTTAATTTGACATTATGAAAACACTGCATTAAAGAGGCAGCAGTGTTGGAGAGAGAGAGAGAGACAGAGAGACAGAGACAGAGAGGCTTACTGTGGTGGGGAAGAAAGCAGTATATAGTGCAGGTGGTTAGAAATTAGTACAGGCTGAAGAACTATTAAGTGTTACTGGTATTGAAGCAAAATGTTCAAGAGCACAAATTAGGAAGGTGCATGAAGAAGAGAAGGTGTTAAAGGCAGAGGAAAAACCTAACACCATCTTTTTGGACACCAGTTTGGAGGTAAAATGGCTAAACAAAAGACATGGTTGTATGGTGGAGAGTGAGGCAAGGGCTAGCCCTTGAAGGCCTCAGGTTCTAAAAAGAAAGGACACTTATCTTCAAGGCCTGGAAGATCTGGTTCAAGTGTGTGACTTTCGTCTGTTTTGTTGAAGATGAGCCTCTAGCAGTGTGATGATTGGATTGTGGGAGATAACATATATTTAAAGCAAATAAATTGGGGTATAATACAGGTTGACTCAAGGTCTGTCAGGACATTTTCAGACTTAAAAAAATAACAAAAAGATTTTCTTTGGTGAAGCTAAGCTAAATAATCAGAGGAATAGAAACAGAACAATATGCCTTTATCACTTCCAGGCAAATGTGGTTCCCTTTCCCCGGCCCCCAGAGCTCTTTGTTCATAAATCCTTCCATGTATTTACAATGTTTGTTTACATTTATCTGTAATTCTGTCCTTGACTTCCTCTATGAGAGAGTGAAATGCATTTTAGCTATGTGGATGTGAGGGAGTGCATAGCACCTGATATATTGTACAGGAAATTTCAATTATAGCCATTCATTCCCACTTCTTCAAGTAGTGCTTCAAAGCAAATCTTCTGCAACATGTTCTTAAACTACCCTTAGATACCTTTGTGTTTAGTCATTCCCAAGAAATTATTACATGCCTCTTCTGTGTTTACTTGGTATTTCCCTGGGAAGTTGCTTTCAAGCTTTAGAGCAGTCTTGCTGTGGCTTTGAGAAAGTTCCTTCAATCTTAAAGTTTGTCGCATTTAAAACATTGTGAGGATTCCATATTGTTGTATATATGATACTCAAAGCTTAGCAATGCTGAGACCCCTCACCCCAAAGAACTGGTTGCAGTTCTAGGATCTGAACTCACTCATCTGAATTTGCAACAATCCTTTCTTTGCATTTCCTCAACAGAGACATTTTTACAATTCTGTTTGTATAATTTGGCCTAATTTTTGATAAAGTTGGTGAGCCACCCTGCTTCCTAAATTAATTGTGGTTGCATAGATTCTTCTGTCTCTTACTTGCTGGTATGTCCTATCCTCTCCATATTTTCTTCACTTTAAGCACAACATTCCCTATTTTTTCATCCAGTTTTCTCCAAGTTCCCTCCTTTTTAGTCATTTGGTTAGAAGAAAAAGAGAAAGTGTTTTGTCTCTAGAAAACATTGCAAAATAACAAAAGGTTAACATTACAGAGTTAACAGACAGAGAAATTCCTTAGAAAGGCTAACTCACAATCTAACAAAATAAATACTAGGAATCTGGTACTGGAAATGGGGTGAAGTTTCAAGGGAAGAGGAGTAGATGAATGAAGACAGGAATGGGAAGGAGAATCTTAAAATTCAGTGCATATCCTACAAAATTAAGAAAATTGAGGGAAGGGGTGAGGTTTGGAAGGATGGAGAGAATGATAAAATGGGGTGACATGGATCAAGATGTATTCATAAACAACATTGATGAACAGCCATTCCTTTGTAGACCTACTTGAAGATAAGTTAAAAGTTTACAGTTAAGCAGAAAAGTAGTAAAATAGAAAGACCATTTCATTTTTAACTAATTAAAAAAAGCTTTCTTTGGCAATACCTGACTGAATTTATCTTAAATATTGAATCCTTTTAAGATGAATGTGATCCTGTTTGCATGAGGTCATACCCGTGGGTATTGTTTGTCTAAATATTTTATGATCACTATAAATACCATATGGATATGAAATTATATTTTCTAAATATGAACTAAATAATATTACTTCTTTTATAGGCCATATGAAAATAAAACCTACCTTGCTCTTGGGAGCATGAAGACACTGATGTTGAACGTGTCTCTGTTTAATGGCGGAGACGATGCCTATGAGACTTCTCTTCGAGTCAAACTACCTGCAGGGCTTTACTTCATTAAGATTTTAGACCTGGTAGGTTCTGTACACAATAATATCATGAGCTTCTTAGATTTCTTTTAATTTTTTAAGAACTGTAAATACTATACTTCATTTGCCCTCTGTCTATACCTTTTGGGGGTTTTAAACCGTTGGAGTATACATCAATATTTAGACTTATTCATCAGCCCTCCGATTAGTTTGAGACTTCTACATGGTTCTGCTCAGAAAAAAATGAGTCCCTTAGGATCCAAGTGCAAAAGCATCCGTTCCCTGCTCCCCGGGGCTAGAAGGAGAGGACTGTTTGCCTGTCATCCTTCCTCACATGCCTGGTGGGAATCCTTACATTGAACAATATTAGTCCTCTATTCCAAGCATCTGGAGTTACTGCTCTTTGTTTTAAGCTCAGCCTTTCAGTCCTCTTTCCTGAAACATTCAGTACATCAGAACCAGTCATCATCCATCACTGCTGATGCCCCGCTCTCACGTCAGGTGCTAGTCAAGCTTTGCTTTGACCACAGAGCCTAGAGCATTTAGAAACTTTTTCTTTCCACCATATTTTTTTGCAGGCATTTAAATCCATCAATGAAATATTAGGAAGCTTGAGTTTCAATGAAAAAAGCATCCATTTGTTTCTCGTTTGAGATTTTCTACATCCCTTAGCCAATTTACCCAGGTTACAGAGACTATCTTTTTACACCAAGGGCACTTGAGAAAGGCCTTGACCTCTTACTAATACCTATTAACCCTTTTATCTGGACCATTGGGAATCTGTTCCCAAAAAGTGAAACTCCAGGTGTTCAAAGAATATACTTAAAGTACACCTGTTATAAATTTTTTTTGTTGTTATTGGGTTTTGTTTTGTTTTGTTTTTGTTGGTCATGTGTCGAACTCTGGACCTGGGCGCTATCCCTCAGCTCTTCAGCTCAAGGCTAGCACTCTACCACTTGAACCACCGTGCCACTTCTGGCTTTTTCTACTTATGCAGTGCTGAAGAATCGAACCCAAGGCCTCATGCATGCAAGGCAAGCACTCTACCACTGAGCCACCTTCCTAGCCCCAAATACAGTTATTTTTATTAAATTCCTTGCACCATACTTTCACATAATGAGCAGAAGAATGAAGTATGGCACTAACACATTCCTTATATCCTGATTTTTCAAAGGATTAGCTTTTAGCTTAAGAAATACACAAAGTGAGAATAAGCTATAAGGAATTTTTATGGAGGATTTGCATGAATGTTAGCATACACATGTGCACATATATTTAAATTCTTTTGCATTTCTACTTTTCAGATCCCCAGACCAAATAGAAAATGGTTTCCTAAGAAAGAAAATACTTCTAGAATGACTTTCTTCTTAAGAACCATATTCATGTTATAAATTTATTTCTCTCTTCTACCCAACCCAATTGTTTTATTTTTCCTTTTAGGAAGAAAAACAAATAAACTGTGAAGTAACAGACAACTCTGGAACAGTAAAACTTGACTGTCGTGTTGGTTATATATATGTAGATCATCTCTCAAGGGTATGTATTTAGTATTTATGATTTTCATTTACCTACCTTTATACTGAAAAAAAAAAGTGTACTTAGAATGTAGCAAAATGGTACAATGAAAGCAAACACAACTCATCCTGAAATCTTTGAGCTTTGCGTTTAGATTCTTGGCATTGCTCACTGCCTTCAGGGGATGGGGACGGGGGTGGTTCTGTTGAGAGGGGCAAGTGAATGTGTCAATCAGAATTCTGCTTGTCTGCTCAGTCTTCCCCAACACTTCCCCCACCCCACCCCAGGTGGCCCTGTCTGCCAGGCATGTTACCTCTGCTATACAAAAAGGTGTTTTTGGCAAGAGTCCTTAGTCAAGTTGTTAAAGCATCTCTAATTTTGTCCGTCTGGACCTGCCTGTCTTCACATTTCAGAGAAAGCTTTGTCTCTGAATGCGACTTGTGGAAATGCCTGAATGTTCAAATTGCCACAAACCCAAAAGCTTCCCTGTGTCTCATTGTCAAGTAAGAGGTAGTAGTTTACACCAATACGATAGCTTCAATTCTGTTCCTTAGTGGGGATGAGGAAGAACTATAGAGAAAAACTAAAAACTAAATTACAAAAGAAAATGCAATTTCGATTGTTATTAAAATGAACCTTTTGTTTGTGTTCTGCAGACAGATATTAGCTTTCTCCTGGACGTGAGCTCCCTCCACAAGGCAGAAGAGGACCTCAACATCACAGTGCATACTTCCTGGTACTGTTCATTGTGGGGGAAAAAAATAATGTATTTGAAGAAACATACCTCTGTATTTTGAGAGATTTGGGGAGGAACCATGAAGCTGTGTTTCATTGATTTTCTATAGAAAAATGCTTCCCTTCTATAATTGTTTTTTCTAAACCAACATTAGACACACATAACAACTTAAATAATGAGAATAAATCTCTACCAATCCTGTTCTTTAAAAACTTCTTACTGCCACATCTGTTTTTTATCACTGCTTCGCAGAGCATTAATCAAACCTCAATTAGGTATGCATGACATGTCTTTATTTCTTTCTGATGAGTTTGTGTGTGTGTTAAAACTATTCTAACAGACTCTTTTCTATCTGATTCTGCAGTGAAAATGAAGAATTGGATGACCTAAAGGATAATACAGTGACTTTAGCAATACCTTTAAGATATGAAGTTATGCTAAGTGTTCATGGGTAAGTAGAGGCAAGAGATTCCATAAAGTTTAGAGCTGATTGCATTGATTCTTACATTAATGTAAGAAACATACTTAAAAAATATTGTCTCACTCTGTAGTTTCTTGCATAGCTGCCCATTTGGGGTTTTTATTCATGTAGGTCCTGGGGCTTCATGTAGGTCTAGGTGCTGTCACAGAGTTTTTTGCTCAAGACTAACCCTCTACCACTTGAGCCAAAGCTCCGTTTCTGACTTTCATTGGTATTTTATTGGAGATAAGAGTCTTACAAATCTTCCTGTCTAGTTTGATTTTGAACTGATCCTCTGATCTCAGTTTCCTAAATTGCTAGGATTAGAACTATGAGCTACCAGCCTACAACTAGCTGCTCATTATTTTAATCCTCTCTGTAATCACCACTGATACCACATCAAATTCATGTCCAGGTAGTTAGAACAGCCCTAATAAATTCCTAGAAGGACACAGCCTTCCATTTGTACACTGAACAATCAAGAGGCACTAGAGTTATGCAATGTGCAGTAAAGTTCAAAGAAGTGTAAGCATAGCCAAATTCACACTCTTTAGAACACATACCTAACCTACATAGAAAATGGATTGAGACATGACAGAGCTGACTACAGGTATCCCTGTCTGCTTTTGAAACTCATGAGATTGTTGAATTCTGCCATAATTTCCTCAGGATTTTAGTAATCATTTAATGGATCCAGTTGTGATTCAAAGCAATGGATGCAAAGGTCATTTCCAACACAGTGTCTTGAACATCTCATTGTTACAATGAGTCAATCTGTATCCCTATTTAAGCATTTTATTTTTTCCCTTTCCCTTCCTCAAATTAGAAAATTTATATATAAGGTACAGGGCACTGAAATAAAATACAGTGAAAACAGGAGTTATACCATGGGGACTTCAGTGGGAGGAGGGTTGGGGAGGTAGGAGGAGGTGAGGGGAAGTAGTTGGGCAGGTGGGGAAGGAAGGGATGGTAGGGGAAAAACAAAGGAGTAGTCATCAATGCTTGATAGGAAATGTACTCATTACCTTGCTCATGTAGCTGTAACCCCTCTGTACAGTATTTTTATAATAAAAAATATTTTAAAAAAAGAGGGATGCAGAAAGAATAAAAAGAGGTTCAAGAAAATGCTCATTATTCAGGCTATGTTTCTTGGTTTATAGATACATTTTTAAGCCTTAGAAGATCAGAGATACAGAACAAAAGTGGAAAAGTATGTTTTTCTCATTGTTCTAAATATAAACACCCATCAGTTTAGCTGCCCATGAAGTTGGCTTACAATTACAGAAATTTAGGGCTTGAGGAATGTCCTAAGTGGTAGAGCACATGCCTCAAAAGTTCAAGGCCCTGATTTCAAACTCCAGTACCACAAAGCAAACAATTATATAAATTGTCAGAATCTGAAATTGATGGATTGCTCGTCAATGAGCTATAATGGGACAGAATATGTCCAGACCTCAATAATCAATATATATACAAATGAAAGGGCAGTTGCATGTTTCCTGGTTTTGAATATTTTTCTCTTCTCCCTTCCTTGATTTTCCCATGATGACAAATCTGTTTTTCCTCTACTCACATCTCATTATTTGGGGCACAAAATGTCTGTAACTATATACATGTATACATAAACATATATATAGCATATACATATTTCATAAATACACATGCCATTTGATTATTTCAAATTTCATTACTATTTATTATGGGTGCCTAGTTGGGTATTATCTAATTTTATCTGCCTAATATAAAACTGCAGAGAGTAGGATTTCCTCAGAAAAGCATTCCTCAATGTTCATTGCTAACCACCTATTTGTCTAAGGTTACAAACAATTACGATCTCATTTTCTTTTCTTGTTTTTTTGTTTTGTTTTGTTTTGTTTTTTGTCAGTCATGGGACTTGAACTCAGGGCTTGAACACTGCTCCTGAGCTTTTTCACTCAAGGCTAGGACTCTACTACTTGAGCCACAGTAGTACTTTCAATTTTCTAGTAATTAGTTAGAGATAAGAGTCTCATGGCCTTTCCTCCTCAGGACTGGCTTTGAACCGTGATCCTCAGATCTCAGCCTTGTGAGTAGCTAGGATTACAAGTGTGAGCCACCAGTGCCCAAGTAATTTTGTTGTTGTTGTTTAATTATCATCCCTATTGGTTTTTTAATTGTTTCCCAGACCTTGGGTTCCTTAAAAACAGCAAGAACTGAGAAAATAACCCCAAAACATGTTAGTTTAAAGCACAACATCATTTGGGGAAACCATAGGATTTTTCCCACAGTTGCCAACTCTGTGAGTCATTTAAGGGCTCAAAGGGAAAGAAATGTCAGAAAAAAAATGAACTGGGCAGATGAGGGGAAGGTATAAATAAAAGAAGAAAGTATTGGTGAGAAGGAACATTATCACTCAAGTCAGAGTATGTGACCTTGTAATTTTCTTACTTTTTCAGTAAAGTTCTAAGAAACTCAAGGTATTTTAAGAGTTTATTAAAAATGCTATAAATACCATGTACCATGTCTAAAAAGACACTTAAGGCCAGGTGCCTATGGCTCATGTCTGTAAATCCTAGCTACCCAGGAGGCTGGGATTGGAAGATCTTAGTTTGCAACCAACTGGAGCAGGAAAGTCTATGAGACTCATATCGAATTGATCACCAAAAAACCAGAAATGGAACTGTGGGTCAAGTGGTGGAGCACTAGCCTTGAGCACAAAAGCTCAAAGACGGCACCCAAGTCCTGAATTAAAGCCCCAGGACTGATACAAACAAATAGAGAAAAATGAGGGAAAAAATAATTAACTGATTTTGTTCCTTTCAGCTTTGTGAATCCAACTTCATTTGTGTACGGATCAAATGAAGACAATGAGCCAGAAACATGTATGGCAGAGAAAATGAACTTCACTTTCCATGTAAGAAAAGTTGTTTGTGTTGGTATTTGTAAAAACTGGCAAGTTTATTCTGATGCATTGCTAGCATCCCTGCCATGTAACTTGGCCTCTGCAGACCAGGATTTATTGTCAACCATGAGTTTTTGGGGCTGTTGTGTTGGGGATCAGGCCCTTTCCTCTCCACCTATTGCTTTCCCCTATTTCTCTTGTCCCTGGTCTGCAAGCCCACACCATATGACAGGACATGTGGATCCTGCAGAGCAGAGGTGGTGTCAGAAACAAGCAGAGTTATAGGATGAGCTAAATCTGATGACAGTCTTGCAGATATGCTGAGAGAAAACTCTGTTGGCAGAAATCTGAGAAATTTCTAGTTGTTTCCAGCTCTATAATAGCCCAGACATTACAAAGTAAAGGAAGATTTTTTTTTTCCTTCTCTCCATTTAGAGTTGACTTGTCCAGTCTTGCAAGCTATAGGTTTCTGAATTAGGACAACTTGATCAATTATTGAATAATGTTTTAACAAATAAAGAACACTATAATGACCTAGTAGTGTTATATACTGAGATAAAGTTTATTTTTATGTATTTTTATTGTAAAGATACTGTATAGAGGGGTTACTGTTACATGAGTAAGGTAATGGGTACCTTTCCTATGAGCATTGTTATCTCCTCCCTTTTCCCCCTACTATCCTTTCCCTCCCTATCTCCTTAGTTCCTCCCTCCACCCCCCACGCCCACCAAAGCTGTAAAGTTCATTTTCAACATAGTGTCTTGTACATCACCCTGTTACAATGAGCCAAAGAAACATAGGTCCCATGGTTTCCATTATTTGCAATAATTAATATACATCTAGGATAATCTTACCTGACAAGCAGAAAAGGTCAAAAGCTATGTATGTACGTATGACCATATAAGAAGATGCTAAGCGAAATGAACCCCAAGATAGGGATACAAGAGGTTTTCTTCTTTGTTGCTGTTGTGTTTAATGTACTATGTGATTTTTTTGTTTCTTTGGTATGTTCTTCCTCCATGTTATAGCCCTGGGTGTCACTGTATTTGATTCTGATACCCTGCATCTTGTATATACATTTTTTTTCTAATTTGAGGAGGGGAAGGGAAATAACAAAATGTTCAAACAAAGATACAGGTTGAGATAAAGTTTTCTTTAGAAAATCCTGTTAAGCTAGAATCTGGTTGTCTTTCAGGTGTTAAGAGATAATGTCTATAAAAAGATTTGTTTTTGAATCAAAAGCACCGTGCATTCTTAAAGTTGTTTAATTTTCTATATAGCATGTAAGTACTGGATTAGATGTGACATTTTGTAAAATAATGATTTTCAAAGGTATATTAGAATCACTGGGGTACCTATTCAAAGTTCAAATATTTGTACTCTGCCCTAGATCTATGAAAAAATAACCTTTAAATCTTATTGATTTCATATCCACTACAGCTTTTGTTAGACTAGTACATATGGAATGTTGAAAAATTTTAGTTTTCCACTTTGAAAACCCAAGAAGAACTTTTTTGAAAACAGTGGGGATTTGTGCTTTGATAAACTAAAATGAAAATCTAAGCTGTTGGAAGTTTAAGAGGCCTATTAATTACTTTATAATTAGTAGTCAGATATCTTCTAATTAATGTCAGATGGGGTGCTTTAAACTGGAGAAACTTGTAATTTCTGTTCTAGTTCTTAAATGTCCCTGGAAGTCTAGAGGTTACTGGGTGATCATTGATTAAGTATAAATGCAATTTAGACTCCATATTTACTGGTCTCAGGATATGTAGAGCTCTAATGGAGCCCTCCCCACCCCCACCCCATTGCTGACATTCCACTCTGTAACTGCTTGCTGCCTCCCTCGGTGGCCTACCAGTTACTTCCCATCCTAAATGGAGAGGCACTTTCAATCTGGCACACTCAGATTACCACAAGTCTGTGAATCATCTTTTTCTCATTTAGGTTTTGTGACAATTCTTTTCTGACTCTGCATTGGCTTTAGAGTTACAAAAAAAGCCAATGTCCGGGGGTAATATTTGTCCCAGATCTCTGCTTTTAGAGATCTGGAATGCTCCAAGTTTATTTCACTGACTTTGCAAAGTGTTATTAAGAGCCTGTCATTTTGCTTGAAGACCCAGTAATATGCTTCTTTCCCTTTTTTCTGAATGTGTAAGCCTTATAATGCAACTGAATGAAAGAGAAGTTATTCTTCTCATACTGTTCATGAGTATCCTCTCAATTTGGAGTGATTTTGTGAAAATATTATCATATTTATAATTAGAGCACCAAGAATTCAGGTCCTGCCATTCTCAACTTTCTTAGGAATAATATAGACACCTATTAGCGTTTGCTTTATTTGGTGAATGTTAAAATATTTACCCACTTCGTAGAATAGTGGTTGGGTTTTAAAATGTGTACTATGGAATATGAGTGTATGTTGTTAGTCTTAAAATGATTGCTTAAAACTAGAATATGTTCTGAGTATATATAATTTCTTAAAACTAGTTTTACAATAATTCATTGTAGAGTTTTTAATTTTTTATTGTTATTATGAAAGTGATGTACAAAATGGTTAAAGTTACATAGGCTAGATAAAAACTACGTTTCTTTTTGGACAAGGTCACCCCTTCTTTTGCTCTCTCCCAGTTTTTTTTCTCCCATCCCCACTTCTTTTTCACTGCAGACTTTTTAACTGAAAAAAACACATGAAAAAGGCTAAGAAGAATTACAAGAGTTTAAGATTATTAGCAAACCTTAAAAATTCTAACTATAGATGCTCTCTCCCTTTGCTCTAGTTTCCAGTAGCAAATCTCCACTTTTGAATGATCACCTCAAAGTTTATGAATTTCAGTACTTATTTTTGTGAATTTTTCTTTTTTTATTAGGTTATCAACACCGGCATTAGCATGGCTCCAAATGTTAGTGTGGAAATAATGGTACCAAATTCTTTTGTCCCTCAGATGGATAAATTGTTCAACATTCTAGATGTCCAGGTAAAACCAGGTTCCTTCTAGTTGATTTTCACTAGGAGTGTCTTAAATACTAAAACAAACACAAACTAATCCTTTTTCCAGGTAATAATGATTGCTGATTTAGATTTTGCTCACTATGAATTTGTTGAGTATATTTTTATACATTATTTTAGTCTGTAGAATAGCAGTAAAATTTCTTGGGGCTCAGTGGTAGAGTGCTTACCTTGCATGCATGAGTCCCTGGGTTCGATTCCTCAGCACCACATAAGCAGAAAAAGCAGGAAGTGGCACTGTAGCTCAAGTGGTAGAGCGCTAGCTTTGAGCTGAAGAGATGAGGGACAGCATCCAAGCCCAGAGTTCATGCCCCACAACTGACCAAAAACATAGCAGTGAAATTTCTTCATTTAATTTATACAATAATAAAACTTTATTTTTCACTGGTATTGAGCCATTATTTTAGGATCCATCTTCTTTGTGATATTTTGTATCATAGGACAGACACATTTTTGTCATTATTTTAGGATATATCTTCTTTCCATTATTGTGGAAGTAATTTTGTTGGTAGACTATCCCATAAATAGTGGAACCCACTATTTAAAGATTAGAAATAGAGCTTATCTTAAGGAAAGCAATATTTCAATCATTATCTATAAATCAGTTTTCTTGTGCTTGTCCAAAAGAATTCTTTTTGCCTCCTCCTTTGAAGAAAAATCAGTCACAAATTTACCTAAGTTTTTTTCATGTGATTTTTTAAAGCCTAAATTGAATTTCAGATTTAGATAATCATTTGTGTAGAAAACAGTTTATCATTTTGTTTTGCGTATAAGCCAAAAAAATGTTCATTTCAGGCTAAAGTCCAAATGTCTTTTCTCTTATTTCTCATAAATTTGTAAAATTAAGTCCATCCTATTAGCTTATGACCTATATCTTACTTTCTGAAAATTTAGTGGGGTTTTGTTCCTCTTTTGTCACAGAAACTCAGTCTCTTCCAGATGTCTGTCAGGAATATTTTTTTTTACAACGTTAGATACCTGACAAGTTTTAGGAGAACATAAGCAAATAGAACTTTTAAAACCATGTTGCTTTTGATCTTCCATGTGTTACATAGTAATACTTTTGTTGCTTTCTGTCTTTAGACAACTGCTGGACAATGCTACTTTAACAATTACCAAAGAGAGTGCACATCAAAGCAGGAAAAAGGAACAATAGAGGCTCTGAGAAACATTTTCAAATTTTTGTCAAAGACTGATAAGAGGCTATTGGTATGTTTCAATTCTTCAGGTTGTTTTAGCTTTCCAAACAGAGAAGTGAAACAATCAAAACCAATGGGTTCGAGCTGTCAGGTGAATGGTAAGAGAGAACACAAGATTAGGAACATTCCTATGTGTAAGGGACAAGCATAACTGGACAAGTGGAGAGACAATGTTGAATATATATGCTGATTTCACTCAATAATCCTCCGGACACCAACTCACCTGGAAAGCCTTTGTTACATAGTATAAATTTAACTTTCTTTCATCTTAGTGTGTTTATTATTTTATGGGAAGTAAGAATGTCAAATTATCAAATTTTCAAATTATTGTTAGGTGTAAAAAATACATGTAATTTACCAAGACTAGGCTTAGACTCTTCCTTATTAAGTTAGTAAGAAAGATGAGAATACATGTTCCAATTTGACCACCTTGTTTCAGTTAACATTTGTTAAAAAAAAATTGAGGATTTATTTAAACAAGATAGTTTTGAAATGCCTCTAAAGGAAAGCAGATATTTAATCCTATGTTTCCATAAATGGTATCTTTTAGGTGTGTAATTTTTTTTTAATTTTGTTTTGATGTTGAAATTTTAATGTATTTTTACATTGTTTTCCAGTATTGCATGAATACTGATCTGTACTGTTTGAATTTCTTGTGCAATTTGGGGAGAATGGAAAGTGGGAAAGAAACTAGTGTTCACATACAGTTGGAAGGTCGGTCCTCCATTTTGGAAATGGTGAGTCCAAAATATCTTAGCAATTTTTTAGTATGGGTGAGTTCATATCCAATCTATAAATTCAATTTTCTTATATAGTCAAGATTACAGGAAAACATTCCACAAATTGTAAAGGAAAAAATAAAAGTTTGGAATAGAACTCAAATTATATTTCCATATGTCACTTCATCTGAAAACTAAAATAAGGAATATGGAATAATTGTTATTTAGTTCAGAAAGTCAAATTGATTGCAAACATTAATGAAATCAAAGAAGTTGACTGGCTTATTAATAGAACCTTAAAATTCTTTGTTTTGTTTTCTTTTTATTTTATTTTTTAGATTTTTAAATTTTTATTGTAAAGGGGATGTACAGAGGTGTTACAGTCACATAAGTCAGGTAATTAGTACATTTCCTTTTGAATAGTATCACCCCCCTACCTCATTCTCCCCAAATTCCCCTCCAAACTCCCTTCCCCTCCCCCCACCAAGTTACATAGTTCATTTCCAGCATAGTGTCTAGTGGGTTTTACGCTGAATTGGATCATCCTTTATCCTTAAAATTGTTTCCACACAGCTTTAAATCCTAAAAGATCTAATATTTAAAAAATAAAGCTATGAAGTTAAAGGAAATCATTCACAAAATTGAACTAAAACATCAAAATTCATCAACAATAATAAAATGATTAAAAAACACTTCATGAACTTTGCAACATTAAATTAAACTTAATATAAAAGAAGCACATATTTTTATGAAGAGCACTTTGAGGTGAGACTAGTTTTATCACAAGTTGTTTTCCAGTTTTCCCATGCTTTCAGTATGGATAAGGTCTCTTTCTGTGTCTCTGTGATGTTGCATACTACATGGTTTACACTTAGTTCATGGTATATTGTAAAACAAAGGAAAACACAGCTGAAAAATCAAAGGGAAGATAGGCCCATCAGGCAAAAAGAAGAGATGTCCATGTTAATTAAAACTTGGAAAAGTCAGGAACCACCAAGAAGTCATGAGACCTTTAGAAGTTTGCCATGTCATACTCCCAGGTCCAGGTTGGCAACATGGGCAAACTATGGACATGTTCAGACCAGATCGCTCCTTGTTGCCAGTGGCTGCCATGTGCATTTGTAGGGCATTTAACAGCACACTCAGAAGCCACACTAGATGCTACTAGGACCACCCTCCAAATCACAACAAAGATGTCTCTAAACACTGTGGGCTCTTCCTTAGGAGAAACATCCTCCTCACTGAAAAAAAGTACTATTCTTGAAATCTATTTCCAGGTCTACAATGTCTAAAAACCTTTGCACGTTCATTTTCTAAACATTTTTATTATATTTAAGTAGTTACACAAGAGAGTTGTCATTTAAAGCAATCTATGAATATAGTGCATCTTTGTGTTACCCCTTTCAACATTCTTTGCAACCCCTCCCAATGTACACATTTCTTGTTTTCTTAATTTTAAGGTTATACATTGTATGTTTTTTCTTCTGCCATTTAACAAAGACGTTTATGTATATAATGCATCTTGATCTATATCATCTCTTCGATATCTTCAGCCTTCTTCAACCACCCCTTCCTTATTTTTCTCATTTCTCTGGTATATATAATGAATTCTTGCCTGCATCTTACCCACTCCATTCTTCTACCTACCTTCCTTTTCTTCACCACCCTGCAAGTACCCATTTCCATTTTTTTTTTCATTCATGGGGCCTGAATGCTGGGCCTGGGCACTGTCCTTCAGCTCTTCAGCTCAAGGCTAGCGCTCTACCACTTGAGCCACAGAACCACTTCCAGCTTTTTCTGCTTATGTGGAATCAAACCCAGGGACTCATGCCATGCAAGGCAAGCGTTCTACCACTGAGCCACCTTCCCAGCTCCCTAGTACGTATTTTAAAGAGTAGTTTTTAACTTTTGAGGATTGTAAAGTGCTCCTCCCCTGTGCTCTCTCTGTCTCGCTCACTTTTGGCAGTATTGGAATTCTTGGATTTGAACCCACTCAGCATGCTTTCTCAGTGAGCTCTCTAACACTTGTGCTATGCCTCCAGCCCTGCTTTTTGCAGACTTTTGTACCTGGTTGGATTCAAAACAAAATCTTTTGGATCTCAGCCTCCTAAGTAGCTATTCCAGGCATGAAGCATCAGTCCCCAGCTGACAGACTTCTTTAAGAGCCTAAGTATGGAATATGTTCTCACCATCCTAATAAATGCACTTGTGGAAATGTGTCTGAACCATTACTTGAACCTATGAAGTTCATCTACAGATTCCAAACTGCATGGGTTCTGAGTTCTAAACTACTCACTTTAGATAGAAAAACCCTGACATCTTACATTAGAATTTGATTACAAATTATTAAGTAAACTCTATGTATTCATTTAGAAAGAAACAAAAACTTGAAGAAGATGGATGTGACGGAATGTTTTTATCAGATCAAGTCTTGTTTGGGAATAAAATTTAATATCCCTGGAAAACATTACATTAGTAATGTTGTGGTCTGACAAGTACTTTAAATCAAGTTATGTACAACACAGCAATGCTTAACAAAAGGATTTTAGTGAAATTATGTATAGGTAATTTTGCAACCTAAGGAAACTTGGAAAAGCAGTTAATCACAAATGAATTAGCTTAAGGAAACATCTAGATAGTAGATAAAGATGATGATAAATTATTTCTATTCACATGTCTTCATGAAATAAAAACTATGATTTGGGGCTACAGTGATGTTCTTTTTTTGAAAAATAGGATGATACTTCAGCACTCAAGTTTGAAATAAGAGCAACAGCTTTTCCAGAGCCACATCCAAAAGTCATTGAACTAAACAAGGATGAGAACATTGCATATGTAAGTTTCTTTTAAGTGGCACACTCAATCTGCATGGGAAACATCCTGAGTGTTTATAATTACTTCCTTTTGTGTACCAGAGTCATTAAAGGTCACTAAACCATTGGGGCTTGGCAGTTTCAACAACAGGTGGGAGGGAACAATATCTAGATCTTTAGGGAGGTGAATCTGGTTGTAATAAGAATGCAGCAGATTGAATAAAAGGGCCATGGTTAAAGCCTGTCACACTCACCGTTTCTGCTAAATGAATTCTAATATTTCTTATGGCTCTGAACTGTTAAGGAAATGGCTCTGAACTGGTAAAGGAATGGCATTTTAATTAGGTATAATTATTATAGTGGGGGGGGGTTCAAAGAAATTATAATCAAGCTTTTAAATGGCATTTCCTTATTTCACTTCCTTCATGCAGGTGGTACTGGAAGGACTGCATCATCAGAGGCCCAACCGTTATTTCACTATTGCAATCATTTCAAGCAGTTTGCTTCTGGGACTCCTGGTACTTTTATTAATTTCATATGTTATGTGGAAGGTGAGCCTTTTATATTAATGAGTATTAAACTACTAAACATGTCATTTGTTAAGATTTTCAATATTGTAATGTTAACTTTGTGTGTATGTGTGTGTGAGTGTGTGTGTGTGTGAGTGAGTGCGCACGTGTGTGCCAGTACTAGGATTTGAACTCAGGGCGTCATGCTTGGCTTTGCTGCTCAAGGCTCGTGTTCTATCTCTTGAGCCATACCTCTCTTTATGGTTTTTGTTTATTAAATGGATATGAGTCTCCTGGACTTTTCTTCTTGGGCTGGCATTGAACCAGGATCCTCAAATATCAACTTCCTAAGTAGCTAGGAAATAGCTAGCAGCACCCAGCTCAACTTTCTAAATTTCAAAGTGAATATGTACTATTGGTGTATTTCTTCTAAATTTGGTACCAAAGTTTGACTAGAAAAAATAAAAATTATTTTGAATAAATATTTAAACTATACTACTAGCTTTGAAGGATATCATTGTTTAAAAAAAAAAGCACTGTGCAAACTTTACACATTCTATTGAATGCTCATTCAGAGGTGGAGAGAGTAAATGTGTTACTAGCAGGTCCCACATTAGCATCAAAAGTGCCTCTTTAACACCTTGTGTCCTAAACTAACTTTTGCTGCTTACTACACCTGTTAAGAGGCTTCATAATTAATGTTACTTGGGACTTCATTTGAGAACTTTTGCTGTTGATTGCTTCGATATTTGATGTGAAGATTGTATGTTCATAGCTGTACATCAGTTTTATATCATTTTATTTTCAGGCTGGCTTCTTTAAAAGACAATACAAATCTATCTTACAAGAAGAACATAGACGAGACAGCTGGAGTTATGTCAACAGTAAAAACAATGAGGATGATTAAAGACTTCTTTCAAATTGAGAGAACTGAAAATAGACTCAGGTTAGACGAAACACTGTTTACAGAAAAGATATTTTTCCATGTACTTCTTCTACTTATGGCCTTGTGACATTATGTTTTCATATGAGGAAAAAGCAAGGATTATGCTTCGAAATACAAAGGTATTCCTTAATATATCCCAAAATGGCCTTTCCACTGTTAGATGAGTTGACAAACACTAATGCAATTAAGAAAAACAAACTCTTGAAGATATTTGAAGATCTTTTATTTTCAAGAAGAATTATTTATATATGTATTCACCTTTTTAAGAATATTCACTTTTTAAGACTTTGTGTGTGTGTGTGTGTGTGTGTGTGTGTGTGTGTGTGTGCGCGCGTGCAAGCATGTCTTGGGGTATGAAACTCAGGTCCCAGATGCTGTCCCTGAGCTTTTATTTTGCTCAAGACTGGCACTCTACCATTCAAACCACAGCTTATACTTCTGGCTTTTATGTGACTAACTAAAGATAAGAGTTTCAGGGACTTTCCTGCCTGGGCTGATGTCAAACCCAAACCTCAGATCTCAGCCTCCTTAGTAGCTAAGATTACAAACATGAGCCAATGATGCCCAGATTCTAAGACATTTTGATGAAAGGGCTGTTCCCCTACATTTTCTAGTGGGTAAAATGGGCCTTTTGTCATTTCAAAGTATATTTTATTTTAAAAAATCTTTAGCATATTGCCTATGGACTTTAATCCAATAATTTCTTTTAGTTGCTGACTATGAATATTATAGGCCTGATGAACAAACTTTCATATTGAATTGTATACACTGGTTTGAGCTTAATGAGATAATGTCTGAATAAATAGAAACTTCTTAATTTTTTTCTTTATGTACATATATTTGCTACATTTTTTAAAATGCAGGTGTTAGTATAGATCTGAATCCACTATGACACACATTTCCTATAACACACATTTATCAAAAGAACATCAGGCTGTAGATGTTGCACTTTTGCTAATATACACTTACGTGTGCAAAAATATGAAAAATGTACCTCACTAGTGATTATAAAATCAAAGCATATAATGATAGAAGGACAGTGAGTGATTCCTACATAGTGGTTCTCTATAAAATATTCACTGTCTAAATTAAATAAATAAGATATTTGCTTGGATATTATACTTTTTGTTACTTTTCTAATATAAGCATTCAATGAAATTTTATGAAAATCTGTTCTCCATAGAAAAGGAGAAATCAGATTCACAGACTTAATTGAAAAATATAGATTTAGCTTGTATACAGTGAGTATCAATTTATATCCAGTCCCATAATTTCCCTATTTAATTGATAAAAAACATTCAGAAAGTTTGTTCTAAGTAAATAAGATTCTGTTTAAAAATAAATAGCCTCTTACTGAATTTTAAATAACTTATCTTTAAATACATTTACAACTACAATCATTTTTGTAATATTTATTTCATTCATGTAATCTAGATGTTGATAACTGTAGAATATACTTTCATCTGGACCTGTCTTTATTTGTATATGAAAGCCTAATTTTATTGGAAGTGATCAAGAAGATAAATAAGAGGGAAAACTTTAACAGCTGTGGAAATGATTGCTTTCCACAAAATCTCTGCTGCCTTTCTCAGATTTCCTGGTTTATAAAAGTTACTTGTTCAAGCCTGTGTTTATGACCGGTAGCTGGAGAAGGTACTGAGATTTGTGAAGGCATTTCAGCCATGCTACTTGAGACAAAGCCCAAGCTCAAAATATACAAGCAAAAATAAATTTACTTAAATGTATATGTTTTTAGCGTGCTTTGTACAAAAGATATATTTTAGTGCTTTCTCATTATGAAAAGCCAAATCATTCATTTGAGAAAAGGTTTAGGTTCATTTCTGAAAAATCAAGTACAATTTAGAAATGCCTTTTCAAGTGTGAGCTTAATAGAAATTTGATTCTTCATACTGAGAACCAACTGTTCTGGTGGTGACTCAGGCCTTCCAGGATCAGGAGCAACATGGCTAGGCTCTTCTCAGTTACAAAGATAGTTTGCACATTTCTAAATAGATTTCATCATAAATTTTGATAAGTTGAAGCAATTTATAATTCTTTTCGAATGAGTTATTCTTATTGTTGTTTTTGCTTTTGTCGGTAGTGGGGCTTGAACTTTGGGCCTTGGTGCTGTCCCTCAGCTCTTCGATAATGCTAGTGCTGTACCACTTGAGCCACAGCACCACTTCCAATTTTCTGGTGGTTTACTAGAGATAAGAGTCGTGATTGGGGGGGGGGGGGGGGAGAGGCTGGGAAGGGATGTGAAGGGTAAACAAAGGAGGAGGCTGCAATGCTTGATAAGAAATGTACTCATTATCTTGCCCATGTAATTATAACCTCTCTGTACAGTATGTTCACAATTAAAAAAAATAAAAAGAAAAGAAAAAAATAAAAAAGAGTCTCAAGGACTTTCCTGCCTGGGTTGGCTTTGAACTACAATCAGATCTCAGCTGCCTGAGTAGCTAGGATTAAAGGTGTGAGCCACTGGTGCCTGTCTTCGTTTTTTGTTTTTGTTTTGTTTTGTTTTTGGTGAATCAGAACTGTAGAGTTTGGAGGAGGAAATTTTGTTGTTTCTGGTAATATCACTAACTAGTTTGCATGATACTTAAATTTAACCCCTATGAATTGGTTATGCCGTTAGTAAAAACTAGGGCAATCTTGTCCGATCTCTGTGTTCTGTTTGGCTAGGGGGAATGGAACATCAGATGTGATAGACTCAAATCTTGAAAACCAAAAGAAACTACTTTGGAATTAATTTGGTCAAATTTTGATATATCATGCTGATGCCTAAATATATGAAACATTTTATTTCAATCTCAATAAACAACTTCTAAAACTAGAATTCAGATTGGTTTTGATGCGGCTATATTTTCATCTTGATTTATAAAGCCCTTGAACTACTTTTTTAGGAATGTCAAAATAGTGATTTCTTTTAAAAATACATTTTCTATTTGGATATGTCTTTAAAGTGTAGCCAAATTCCTGTATATTAAAATTCTAGTTAGTTTTTTTTATAAACAATTACATGTTACGTTGCAATCATTCATTTCTTCTAGGCTTCCTCCATAAAGACTGATAAGCCCTGGGTGTAATCTGCAAAGAATAATAAGAATAACTTACTTCATCAATATATCATTGTTATTTTTCACACACACACACACACACACACACACACACATGCTGAGTATGTCACATAGTACCACATAGAAATTGATACTAAATATACACTCAAGGCTGAGCAGTACTCTACCAAAGTGAGAAGCCTGGAGTATCAGTACTAGTTGATAGCTTTCTTAACCATCTTCCTGGACCCATGAGCGCCCTCCATCAGGACAGACACATTGTTCTTATAAAATAAGCAGATCTAGTGGGTACTCCTTCCCAACCACTTGATTAACAAGAATGTGTTGGCTTGCTCCTAAATCTATCAATGCCCTTTGCACTTGTTGCTTAACTAAATAATTTGTAAAATTGTTCTTGTGTAAAGCATGTTGAATACTTTGTAAAGATCTGAGAAAAAGCAAACTTCCCAACAAAAAGTGTTGTCATAGTTGAGCCTGAGCACAGTGGGAAGAAACTAAAAAGACTGGAACTATCTCCTCACCATGGTACAGAATCTCAGTCTATTTCTTAAAAGCCAAAATGAAACTGGGGACAGACATCTGTATAGTTTATACAGAATGATCATTTAGAATGCCAATGTAGAAAAACATAACCAAAGAATATGCCTTTGTTCTATATACAAATTGGTGAATAAATTAAATGTTGTACTTTTTTATTTACTGAAAGTTGTGCATGTGTCTTTTTATGTTTTCCTTGATTTACTGTTTTTGAGCTGACCCACAGTTAGAAGAAGACCAGTGACACATCTCTAGACCATGTAGAGTGGTGAAGGAATTATGCTCACCTCACATGAACTTCTGATGCAACTTCCATTAAATCACCATCTATATTCCAAGGGAGACTGGTTTCTGAAGCAGGTTCTGATTCATTGTATCCACTGGTATTAGTCCTTGGGCAAACCTTTACTTCTTCAACAGTATATGTCTCCACAAATGGAAAACTGAACTAAATAAAACAAATGCAAATAATCACAACACTTTCTTTATCTTAACCTGTTCATGAAAATCAGAGTTCACTGCTCCCCTTACAAATAAGTATCACCATATGTGCTGACAATTTCTAAATAGTTTTAAATATCATGGTCAGAGATATTAAGTTTTGTTTTGTTTTGATATTTGAAAATGAAATCCTTTCCTAAAGCTATCCTGGCTCAACTAGATCTTCTATATGATAATCAACATTGTTACATGACAATACCTATGAAAATTACACACAATATAAATTTTCCCATTAAAACAATCTATAAAGCCAGACTTGGTGGCTCATGTCTATAATCCTAGATATACAGGAGGCTGAGATTAAAGGATCTCTGTGCAAAACCAGCCCAGGCAAGAAAGACCGTAAAATTCTTGTATCCAATTAATCACAAAAAAAGCTGGAAGTTGAGCTGTGGCTCAAGCAGTAGGGTGCTAGCTTTGAGCAAAAAAAGCTCAAGGACATTGTCAAGGACCCGAATTTAAGCTCCAGGACCAACATGTTTGTGTATACGTGCATGCGCGTGCGCGCACACACACACACACACACACACACACACACTCTCTCTCTCTCTCTCTCTCTCTCTCTCTGTAATAGGGGTCTACTGATATTGAAGATTTTCATTATCCATTTATTCCATTAGAAATTTGTTAGTTTGATGCCATTTGCTGATACAATTTACTCTCAGTGTTAGTTTTTCGTTCAGAATTGAAATCTGGAACAATCTAGGTCTGAACTTAACGAAGATGAAATGGGAAATATATCTTCTCTAAAGGGAAAAAAAAGAAATAAAATTTTCACAAGTGTTTGCCTGCTTCCTCCGGACTTTACAAAAAGGATTATAAATTGCGAGATAATTGTGCTTCTTACTGACCCCTCCAGAATGTTTTGAAGGTAATATTGGAATTGCAAATTTTCATGTTACCTATCTAAGGAAACTATTAAAAAATACTATTGTATCATCTGAAATAATCAAGAAAATAATACCAAATCACTTTCATGTGAATGTACAATAGCGACTCAGTCAGTTTTCAGTCAAATGGCATGAGATTTACCCCCCAGATAAATACGTTATTTATCTTACTTTCTCATCTTTTCCAAATATAAATGTTAACAGTATTTAGAAGTTGATGGAAAAGTAGTATTTTGTAAACCCCTGGTATTTTATACACATAAAAATGAAGCTCCAGCTTACTTTACAGCTTAGAGTGTAAAATAATCTAAGTTACAGAAAAGATTACAATGTTACATCATCTGTTTTGATTGGAAGAGAGTTAGAGCATTCTCTGTGGAACCAACCTGGCTCTCTGTGAAATACTTTGATAATCACAAAGCCAGACTTCTTAACTTGGGTGTAAAGCTTTGAGGACAGGTTCTACATTCACAAATACTTCTGTGTAATTATTCATTCTAAAGGTTGCATGTTTTGAATAAGTTATTAATAACTGGCAATTACGGGTTAAATTATGACTGCTCCCCTCCAAAAAAATAAGTGTAACTCCTGGAACTTGTTTGGAAGTAGGATCTTCACAGAGAGAATCTTGTAACAGATGCTATCAGATGTGTCCTAACTCTAAAAAATCTATTCCAACTTAGTGATAATGATTAACCTTAGAAACATAGAATTTTAAGTACCTTTAATATTGCCTTCCTTTTCTGTTTTTGGACTAAAACATAACAAACACGTAGTACTTTTGGATTAAGAAAAAATAAAGTTGTTTTAGCATTTAAAAAACTGCAAAATCAGAAAGAGACCTACATTACTTTGGGAAAAAATAGTACATCTACATATTTTCTTTAACTTCACTTGTGTAAAATTATGTCTTAGACATCTCTTTATCAACTTCACCTTCTTAGAGACATATTTAAAGAAAGTATGCCACAATTTCATTTATTTTGCTATTTAATTTCCTAAACAGGTCAAGGTGATTACTCAGACTAAAAAAGTCTGAAAATGTGAGGTAAAAGAGGCAGCCTGGGAGTGACTAAGGCATGCAAAGATATTGAAGAGGCTCCTTGCTGGATTCTCTCTCCTGATCTTCCCACCTGTGTGGTACTAGCTATATCCAAGCATATACATTCTTGTATCAACATTGTATTAACATTCTTTATACCTTGAAGAAGATGTGCAACATAAGGTTTTATTGCCACACCTGAAAACTTCAAGACTAATTGCTGGATCAATACTAAATGATTCTGTCAATATCTGCCAAAAGAATTTGGTTTGTAGCCAGGTGCCAGTGGCTCACGCCTCTAGCTACTCAGGAGGTTAAGATCTGAGGATCGCGGTTCAAAGCCAGCTCAGGCAGGAAAGACCGTGAGACTCCTATCTCCAATAAACTACTAGAAAACCGGAAGTGGCTCTGTAGCTCAAGTGGTAGAGCACTGGCCTTGAGCTGAAGAGCTGAGGGACAGCGCCCAGGCCCAGAGTTCAAGCCCCATGACCGACCCAAAAAAAAAAAAAAAGACTGGTTTGCAATCACTTCTGTTTCACATTAAAGCTCATCACTTCAGTGTAAATTTGTATCTCTATATGATATAGTTTTGAATATTCCCTACTAAAAGGGTATCCTTTAAAATAGATATTGGTAATTCTATTGTAGTAAATGGGCATACACAGATCTGCAAATAAATGTTGGAAAACTCTAAACATCATTACTTTAAAAGGCCGGAAAGCAAAACTCTCAGATTTTTGCCACTTTTTACGTCAGGAACACCCAAATCTGTACAACTGTGCATGCATTTCCTATTTTGAATGAACATTTATTTTTAAAAAGATTAACATATTCAGAAGAAAAACTTTCTTATCAGCAAAACTTGATGCCAACTTTTAATTTTTGGTGCTGCTCTTGAGTCTTAAACTCAGGGTCTGTGCCCCCTCTCTTACTTTCTGCTTAAGTCTACACTCTACCAGTTGAGTCAGAGCTCTTCTTACAGCTTTTGAGTAATTAATTGGAGATAAGATTCTCATACACTTTCCTGCCCAGGCTGGCTTCAAACCATAATCCTCAGATTTCATTCTTCTGAGTATCTAGAATTACAGGCATGAGCCACTAGTGCCTGACTTGATGTCAACTCTTGAAATATCTTTCTCATCATGATTAATAGATTCACAAATAAATAAAGAAAATTTACTATACCTGATTTTTTACACTGGCATATCGTTTCAGGTGTTTTATAAATTCTGGCCGAGTAGTGTTTCGTGCAATTATAAGAGCCATGCTTCCATTATTTAATCTGAAATTAAATAGTATTTGACAATAAGAAGATTATGAAGACACTGGGCATGAGTAGCTCAGGTCTGTAATCCTAGCTACTCAGGAGAGTGAGATTCAGAGGATCTAAGTTGAAAGCCAAACTGGTCAGAAAAGTCCTTGAGGCTTCATCTACAAAATAACTGGTGAAATACAAAACTAGAGGCATGGCTGAAATGGTAGAGCAGTAGCTGATCAACTGAAGCAAACCTGAGCCCCTGAATTGAAACCTGGCTTCAGAAGTTTTTGAAGAGATGACATCAGAAATCACTGCAGGCTATTCCTTATAATAAGTACATTGCTTACCTAATATATGGAGCAAGTCATATAATCACTGGCAGATTAAATTTACCTAAGACTATTAATCCATATTTTCTAGGCTATTATTTTTTCTTATTCTTTTTCTTTCCAGAGCTGAAGACCGAACTATGGACCTTGCATTTGCCAGGCAAGTGCTTTTCCACTGAGCTAATTCCCCAATGCTTAGGTTAATATTTAAATGATCTATCTTTTCAAATTACTTTTACTGACCTATCATCTTTCTTTTCAGCAAGCTACTGAATCTTTGCTCTTTAAAATTAAGAAAATGAACTCTCATCAAGACATAATTTTTAAAGTCACTCTAACTATTTAACAATTTGAAATGTAAAACTACATTTTAAAGATACATTATAAAGTAGTTAATATACACAAATGCTGCAACACATTTTAACATTTTGTGAAATGTAAACTGTATCTGAAATATTTATTTATGGGAAGAAGTTCTCAGTGACATAGGAAAGGAAATAAATCAAAGTGCCCTTGGTGGATGACATGAACAACTTGGCCACACAGGTTCAGTTAGATGCCTGAGTATTGTTTATTTTTTGGGTGGTCATGGGGCTTGAATTCTGGGCCTGGGTGCTGTCCCTGAGCTCTTCAGCTCAAGGCCAGCGCTCTTCCACTTGAGCCACAGCACCACTTCCTGTTTTCTGATGGTTTATTGGAGATTAGAGTCTCAAGATTTTCTTGCCTGGCCTGGCTTTGAACCATGATCCTCAGATCTCAGCCTCCTCCTGCATAGTTAGGAATACAGGTGTGAGCCACCAGTGCCCGGCAATACCTGAGCATTTTTATCTCATATAACTATTCCACGTGTTGTAAGAGACTAGAGATTCAGAGTTGTGATTTAATGTCAAAGCAAGCCACTCACAATGCAGTACTTTAGAAGGCATTTTGCAGAAATACATGCAAATTTTTCCAGGCTTGATTTCAGTTCAAACATGAACTTATCCCAAGAATAACAACATTAGAAAGAGCTCTTTATATCTTTTGGAGAATCCTGTTGGAGCTGTGAGGGACCTTGAAGACCATTTTGTCATTTACTCATTTTTTGTAGAAGACTCATCTAAATGTAAGTGTGTAAGGTACACAGAACAAAGCAGAACAATAACCAGTCCTAGAGCTCTTTGCTAGAGTCCAAAACTCTTTCTATCATCCTGCCACCTCTTCTATACTGAAAATAAACAGCACAAAAATATCTGGTCAAGTGCTACTCTATATCATTTTTCTTAATTGTATAATTTCATAAATATGAAATATATTGCTTACATTTGTTTTTCAATATTTTCAGTAATTAGTAATATTTTTAAGCTTAGTGATTAATTGGAGATAACAGTCTCACAACCTTTCCTGCCTGGGCTGGCTTTGAACCACAATCCTTAGATCTTAGCCTCCTAAACTGAGAGTATAGGCATAAGCCACTGATATCTAGCTACCTTCTATTTTTATTTTTGTACGGAAATTAATTTGAAGTAAATTAAACTTTATCATGTAAAAAAGTTGATAATAGGATTCCCTCTTTAGTTGTCTTGATTCATACAGAAACCATATTTCTGATAATCTCTGGCAAAACTGAGGTCCAAGCTAAAGGCCCTTTGTACAGAAAATGGCTTGTTTTTACTATAAACCACAGGAGAAATCTCTAATCATCCTCCTCCGAAAAACTCATCAATACTGATTCAACCTGGGCAGTCAGAAGTAGAATCCAACCAACTGTACTTCTTTGAAGAAGGTGGGAGTCAATTGCTCCTTCCAAAGCTGAACTTCCTCCTGTAAAGGTCCTAGAGCAACAAGCAATGTCTAGATTCCTATAGAACACAGTCTGCCAGTCAGCAGCCAGCTTTTAGAGGGTAGTGAAGGAAACTGCCTAGAATTACTGAGGATGTGGATTGGAAATAACTAGGCTTAATTTCAGAATTATAAAAGCTTCAAAATACACCTTCCAACTAGACATAATTATGAAGATGATGTCATCTGAGTTTTAATCACCAAAGTTGGATTCCCTCTTTTTTCTAAAATTGTGGTATTTCCCTGTTTATAACCTTTTTATCCATTGCAAGGTAGTTATTGAAAATTAATTCCTATTTCTAGCTTTTAAGTCATTCTGGATAAATATCTTTAAAGGGAATTTGAAATTAATCATTAAAAACATTATAACTTGTCCAAATATTTAAATCATCCTGTCATCTAACTTCTGAGAACAATATACAATTGATTCTAATTTACATCATTTATGATAGTTTCTTCTGTGCTCTATGTGACTGGATTAAAGAAATAATTAGTTTTAGACAGATAAATGATCAGCTGCTTAAAAGAATAAGCAAGAAAAGGAAGATCTAAAGCCTTGTGTCCAAGACATAGAAAATATGGACAAGGGATTCCTATGTGCCACAGTGCATATTAAATAGGACCAAAGTGTTTTCTTTAACTAAAACTATCAACTATACACCCAGACACATGATCCTTTTCATGTTAAAGGATATTTATGTTTCTAAAATTGCAATGAAGATACTTTTACAAGAACAAGAATTTAATTTAAGCAAATAAATATAAATACAGCAACAAAATTTTATTTCAGTAACAATATTATTTCAGTATGACCCAAGGAATATTATTTTAGTCTCAGTAATATTGGATAATCACTGATTAGTTGACTGATTTTATAGTTCCACAATTGTTCTCAATCTAGCATGGTGAAAAATCCTTTGAAAATTCTAACATTACAAAGAGACTCTTGATAAGAGTCTAGCTAGCTGATTTATTGATCATGAAAATGAATGTTGAGTTTATATAAAAGAATATTAGTGACTCAGTAAACATGCCAACTCACCTAGTGTTAGGTGCCAAACCTCTAGGTGCCACAGAACAAAGACAAGGGATTGCCATGATGCTGACATTCAGGAACTGACCCTGTAGCATTTGCCAGTGGTCACTGCAGCCTAGAGGTAATGGAAGTCATTAGTGACTTCTCCTTCAGCAGAGTAAAACCTTAGTAGAGCTTGCCCCAGATCTCAAAGAGATACAATTAGACTCACCAGACTTGGGAGAGCCTTGTCTAAAAGAAAGAAAACAAAAGATACAAAATCAGGACACCCATTTTTAAACTCTGGAAAAGCAGAGGACCTAGTCAATATTTTCTTAGTAAACTTATGTGTATCATTTTGTTATTGACAGCATCATAATGTGCCCATTAGTTTAAAAGTATAAAAAGTGGTAAAAAAAATGAACAATGATTTTCTGTTTCCCTGATAACTGGAATCCTTTCTTTGTATGGCTTAATGTTTATATTCACTCTAAAATTCTCATGTGGGCAGAATTGTGTGTGTGGGGGGGGGGAGGGGGGTTTAACGTATGGTTACATGCAAAGTACCTGGTATACACGTACACACTCAAGCAATTCTTGAGTGAATAAATGACTGGATGAAGGGAAAATGACTAGGCCAAAAGGCAGAATGAGGTGGTTAGATCTGTAGGAGTCAATTAATTATTCTATACCCTTCTTTAGTATATAATCACAAAAGATTACAAATCTGATGCACAGTGTATGATCAAATGTACTATGCTTTAACAACAGATACAGTACCTCTGGAGTTCATCCTGAGAGTTGTTAAGTGGTAAAAATGATATTGTACAATCCTCTGGCCTAAAATATAACAAAAATCTTATTAATAGCCATTGACCATGGGATATAGAATTTTTCATAAAAGAAAAACACCTACTTAAGTGTTGTCAGTGCCTTAATCACAGCAAAATCTCTCCTTTGGTTAGGAGACATCCATCGATACTTTTCTGCTAGAGCCAGAGTTCTTCCACCAAAGCCAAACATGGCTGAGAAGCCAAAGCGAAGAAGTTTGCCAGAGGTGCTAAACGTGCAGACATCGACTGGCTGCAGGTGTCCTTGAACAAACCAGAGTGACAGCAGTCCATCAGTAAGTGCTGTAAGGCATCTTGTCAAAACAACAAACATGGGAGACCATACCTTGTAGAAGAATATCTGGAAATACTGTGCACCTTAATGAATATCCTTGATTTATCTCTGTTAACCTAGACCTACTGCAAATGTTCTTTATAACTTTCTCAGGAGCTAAATGAAGGATCACAAAGCAGTAAAATTTGGAACTTATTACTTTTTCATGTAAAACATGATTGAGGACATGAAGCTGTTGGGCAAATTAAACTTTGACAAAACAGTAATTTTCACTGAATTTATCTTAAATTAAATGCTGTCAATTAGGATGCAATGCTATCAATTTTGTCTGCAAATGTATACCATGTAAATTACTTTTCCTTCCATTTTCTTCTCTTAATAGCATAATCCTAGTCATGGTACAACAATTGTATACATTACATACACAGATAGTATGCTGGGTGTTCGTTGATCTGATTAAAAAATTGTGATTTTTGAACAACATTATAATATTTCTTTGTGTAGATTATAGCAAGATTTTATTTATGGTTCTTTACAAAGTATCTATTTTGAAAAGAGAGGTGATAAAATAATGCAAACCTTGCCTAATTAATTATGAGGTTGTAGTCAAATGTTTCTCTACTTTGAAAGACAACAAATTTGCCATTCCTTAAAAGACAGAAGTCACAGTGTTTTCTATGTAAATAAAAATCTTTTTCACGATATGAATTTATTTGGAAGAATTCTTACCCATGATAATGTGCAAAGTTGCTGTTACCACATGAGGGATCCCATAAAGAGAATGAGCCAGAACATTAGTTGATCCTGTCAAAGCAAAGTGAAATCATATACTATCAATATAACATACATTCTAAGTTCATAAGTTAACATTTACTCTTACTTTACCATTCACAATAGTCCAGGCCAGAGTAGAGAGTCAAGAGAAAGAAACTTTAAAAAGTGAAAAGAAGAAAGTCACTGCTGCAAATAACACATATATAGAAAACACTAAAGACTATACCAAAAGAACTGTTAGAAGTAATAGCTTCAGTAAGATTGCAAGAAAAAAAAACAGCATACAAAAGCCATTAATGTTTCTATAGACTTACAACAAACCTTCTGAAAATAATTTTAATCCCATTTACCATGGCTACAAAAGCAAAACCATTACAAACAAATTTTTAAAGGAGGCAAAAGAAAATTATAAAAGCACTGAAAATCATCAGATACTGATTAAAGAAATTGAACATAACACAAATAAATGAGAAATTATTCATGCTCATTAATTGGAAAAATATTGTTAAATCCCAAACCAATTTCCATCCAATGATTTGATGCAATCCCGTTTTTCTCATTAAAATCTTATATATGGAACCACAAAATACCCTCAGTGGCTAAAGCACTCTTGAGGAAAAAAAGAGCAAAGCAATGGCCATCACATTGATTTAAAAATATGCTACAAAGTTACAGTAATTTTGAAAAACACAATACTGGTATAAAAAAGAGCGGCCTAGTTGTGCTAGTAGCTTTAGTATCGTCTTGTTTGTGATTATTTGGGTAAATTCCCAAAAGTGGGATTGCTGGGTCACAGGGGAGCTCTATGTGGAGTCTTTTGAGGAACCTTCATACTGCTTTCCAAAGTGGTTGAACAAGTTTACACTCCCACCAACAATGCACTAAGGTTCCCTTCTGTCCACATCCCCTCCAGAATCTATTGTTATTAGAGCTCTTGATTATAGCCATTCTAACTGGGGTGAGGTGGTATCTCAATGTTGTTTTGATTTGCATTTCTTTTATGGCTAGAGAGGTTGAGCATTTCTTCATGTGTCTATTGGCCATCCTTCTTTCCTCTAAAGAGAAGTTCCCCTTTAAGTCTTTAGCCCACTTATTTATTGGGCAGTTGTTTCTTTGAGGATTTGTTGTTGGGGGGGTTAATTTTTTGAGTTCCAAGTATATTTTAGATATGAGACCCTTGTCCGTTGTATGGCTAGTGAAGATCTTCTCCCAATCCATGGGCTTTCTATTGATCTTGCTAGCTATGTCCTTTGCCATACAGAAGCTCTATAAATTCATGCAATCCCATTTGTTCAACCTTTCTTTGATTTGTTGTGTTTCTGGCATGGGGGAGGGGATAGGAAGGGATGGGAAGGGGAAACAAAGGAGTAGGCAACAATGCTTGATAAGAAATGTACTCATTACCTTACTCATGTAATTGTAACCATCTGTACGGTATTTTCACAATAAATTTTTTTTTAAAAGAAAGTATTGCAGGAAAGATTAAAAAAGAGAGAGAGAGAGGCCTAGGGAACAGGATATAATCCCAGAAATAAAAATCTGAACTGATTTTCCATAAAGGTGTCAAGATAACACAATAGGGAAAGGAAAAACAGTATGGAGGTTCAAAACAAAACAAACAAACAAATGAACAAAAACCCTGAAAACAGAACTACAATTACTGAGGGGCTTCCTTTTGTAAAGGAAGTTTTTCATAACAGCCAAGACATTGAATTAACCTAAATATTCATCAATGGATGAGTGGAAATATGGTATAGATTCACAATAGAATAGTATTCATATTTATTAAAACAGGAAATCCTGGCTGACAGCCAACCTCACCTTTGTAATCCTAGCTAACTGGGAGGCTGAGAATGAAGATTAATGGTTGCAAGACATTTTTTCAATGTATACGTGGGCACAGTCATGACTGCACTTGCCAAGCTACATGAGAGGCTAAGATTGGGAGGATAATGGAGATCCAGACTGGACCAGATAAAAAGCTCTAAAACCCTGAGGGCAGCTGGATACCCAAGCAAGCATGTGCTTGCCATCCCAATAATAATTTGAATCCTATGTAATCCATGATCCACTATGGATCATGGTTCAGGCCCACAAACAATATTCTATGAAAAGCAGGGCTAGAGATATGACTCAAGGCTGGAGTTCAAACCCAAGGAAATCCAATCATTTGAGACAATTATGAATGAAACCGGAGGGTATTATGCCACATGAAATAGGCAGGTACTATGCAATGAATACTATGCAATTTCACCTTTATACAGAATATTTTTGTAAATTAGCTGACAATGGTGGATCAAGCTTATTATTCCAACTACTTGGGAGGCTGAGATAAATTGAAGGATTGCTGTTTTAGGCCAGCCTTGGGTGTAAAATGTTCACAAGACTCCATCTAATCCAATGGCTGGATTCAGTAATGAATGCCTGTATTCAAAGCCATGGAGGAAAGACAAGGACTAGATGAAGTAGCATCCACCTGCCATCCCAGGGAAAGTGTGATTTACTAATAGGAGGATTCCAGTCCAAGCTGGATCGAGCTTTAAGCAAAACCCCATCTTAAAATAGCCAAACAAAATGGTGCTGGTAGAATAGTGCATATGGGAAAACATCCTGTAGGACATGTGAAGCCCTGAATTCAAATTGTAAAAGCAGAGAACATGTACTCACATTACTATGGGCCAACAGAGGACAAGTTTGGGATAGGTTTGCCTCTGACAATGAAAATTTTGAACTATGAAGAATCTGTTCAAGAAAGCTGTTATACTACACGATGATTATAATTAATGTGTTACATACTTGAAAATTGCTGAGAGTAGATTTTAAGTGTTCTCACACACACGAAAATAAGTATGTGAGCAATATATGGTAATTAGCATAATTAGCTTAATTTAGACCTTCCACAATGTGTACATATTTCAAAACATCATGTTGCATGTGTTAAATATGTATAGGTTTATGTCAATTTAAAAATAGGTGAGGAAAGAGTTTGAATCAGCAATTAATGGAGAATATACACTTTTAAAAGATTGACTTTCAGAGGTCACTCTAGATATACTGAACTAAGTCTGTACTTTTTAATACCCCCAATGACTTGTGTACCCATGGCTTGAGGTATATATGGAATTTCTGGTCTATAAATCAGCAGGATCCAAATTACCCAGAAGCTTGTGAAAAATGCAGATCCCTGGGTGTCACCTGCAGCTCACTCAATCAGAGTGTGTGTGTGCTGTGAGTGTGCATCTATGTAAGGATCACCCAGTTGTCTGTATTAACAAGACCTCCAGGGGATTCCATTATACTCTACTGTTTGAGAAGAAGTCACTTGCAAACCTGAGACTCTGAATCTGAACACAGGCCTTTCCAATAAGTCTTTGGCTTCCTACATCTTGCCCTTTGGCTACTAAATTGTTAATCTTTCTCAAAAAAGAAAGAGAATGAAAAGGGAAAACAAATCAATCCAGTTTCCTTCCCAGATTTATAGTAAAGGTTTCATGGGAGGCCACATAATTAGAGTGAGATATTTAGGATTATCAATGGATTACAGTACTCCATGAAATACACTTCCTCTATTACCATGGTTAATTAGGAGTAGACCATAAAACATATTCCTCTAGAAAGGCTATTAAAAAGCATAATGTATTGCCATGTGTGATAGAGAATGACACATATCATGACTCAAGGAAATGGATTGCTTGCTCCCTGTGAGTTTGAATGAACATACTCCCAGCAAGTGTGCTCAAGTACCAATCTCTTTGCAGGGCTAGAGATGGATTTTAGGTGTACACTCTCTCAGACATGGTAACTCGTCCTGATTGTGTAGAATTTAGCAGTGAGCATAAGCATGACCAGAACTCAGAATTCTATTTTAGGCATCTTCTATTCCCTAAGGTGCCTTAATTTCTGAACAGAGATTTTTATACTCTAAAGAAAATAGTAAGTTTATGAGAAAGTTCATAGTAATTGTCAAATTATAGGTAGTTCTACATTCTTGTCTGGCTCATCTGAAAATGGATCACATTTTGGTTCAAATAATTGCGCTCTATTTGACAAGGTATTGCCATGCCAAAAATATTGCTCATATAACTAACAATGGTATAATTTTAATGATTCTACATAAGCTATAAATGTTCTATCTCAAGGTAAACATTTTAATTAGGCCCAAAAGTTATACTGTATTTCTTCACACTACTATAATCTTTGTCCACCACCTCCCCTCCACTGGCTTGCTAATATGTGTCAAATACAAAGGATAGAACAGCAGTAGCAATTAAGGAAAGTGTGACTAATGAAATACTAGACAGAAAACTACAGAGAGACAGAGAGACAGACAAAGACAGAGACAGAGAGACAGAGAGACAGAGAGGAAAAAGAAAAAGTCCTTGGAAGTGCAAGCACTTCTGCAGAACAATTAACTTAATTAACCAGACACTATGAATATTCATAAGGCTGTTAATGTCTCCCACATCCAAACAGATAAATGTGATGTAATGACTTCCTAGTCAAGCATATCTAAAATTCTCATGAAAATGGCACCTACAGTTTGGTTCTTTGCCTGAAATATCATAGAAATTAAGAGTCCCTTGGCAATATTTTATTCTCCTCAAATTAATTGGAAAGCATGAATTTATTTATGCAAACTCTATAGAAATAAATGGTTCACAGCCATCAGTATGTGGACTGAGTCTTGTTTTACAACAACTGGATTGCCTTTTTATTTTTATGTCCTCTCAGGCTTTTTTCTTCCCCTTCCCCAGTTTTAATCGGAATCTTTCTGTGTAGCTCCTTAGCACCAGTTCCCATAGCAACAAGCATAATTTCTAATGACCAGCAGTTCAAATACAGGCTTCTCCACATCTGATCCATTTGAGTCTGATCATAATTTAGTGGCTTAGTCTGTTGGCTCAGTGGAGTAATTTACTAAACACTCTCCCTCTGGGTGTCTCTCTCTAGGAAGCAAATGGCTTCAAAGGCAGACTATGTCTTCATGTTCAGCTTGGACAGTTCCTGCTCTTGCTCTCTCTCATTCCTTATCAAGATCCCTGACTAAGCAGAGTATCCTCACATTAAACACAGCCCACACATGATTTTCTCTTCTTTTTAGAATTAGTAAGCTGAATTTTTCACCCAACAACAAGAATTGTGACAGTGTACAGTGTCTTCTAAACAAAGACATTCAATAGCATTTCAACAAATACCCAGAGAATGTATAGAATAGTCTTGGAATCAGAAATATATTTTTAAAGAATAAATTCAATATGATTCCTTTATAAAATCAGGTACATAATAAAAATGTAACTGGAAATGCTACTTGTTGTTTTGCTGTTTAATATCTTTCTCTTTCTCTCTCTCTCTCTCTCTCTCTCTCTCTCTCTCTCTCTCTCTTTCTCTCTCTCTCTGTCTCTCTCTCACACACAAACACATACACACACAAACACATACACATACACACACAATCTTGGAACCTCTCCTTTTAACCTTTGAAACAGGGAAGTTAGTGCCTAACCTAAGAACTCTAAATACTAATGAAAAGAACCCATGATGAAATGGTAACCTCTCTGTACAACACTTTAATAATATTTTAAAAAGTAATAAACATAAGCATAAGAAACTTAAAAAAAAAGAACCCATGAATTCAGCACATATACTCCCAGAGAGGGAAATATTAGAAAGGTTCCCCTAACTGCACTCAGAACCTTAGACACAAAAAGGTCAAAAATAAAAGATAAAATGACATAAAACAATGACCTCAAACACATCTTTTCTCTTTTTCCTTTGAAGGTTACTTTATAATTTTCTTTTTAGAAACCATTATTGATCATCTATAAATATATGATATTACATATAATATATATCTTGAAATTATAATGATATATCTTAGCATATTCAAGTGCTTGCTTTTATGAATGACTTTATTCTCTAAGAATGCATTGGGTATGTAAGTTTACTTTCTGGACCAGTCTTACTCTAACTGTTCTTCTGCACTCTTCTAATCATTGTACATCTTGCAGCAAAATGAATCTTCCTCAAACCAAATACCTCCAATGGCTCCCTCAATGTGAAACAACCCATAGTTCTCTACTGAATCTCAAATATACCTCAACACCGTCTTGTGCATGGGTACAGAACACCCAGGGTCTGGCACATATCACATCATAATCTTCCACCCCGTTTTGTTGTTGTTGTTGTTGTTTTGTTTTTCTCAGTCACTCTTGTCATTTTTTTATTATTTTTATAGCTAGGAAAATAATTCACAGTCATCTTTTCAGAATTATACCCATTTTAAACCAAAAGTGTTAATTACTCTCTAAAGTCTCCTTGAGACACATTGCTTTAATATGTGCTATAGTAATGCTTAATAAATGTCTAATGTCTGTGTCACATTCTTTTCCAGCTACTGGGTACTTAGCCAGGCCCTGAAGAAACTCATTCCAGGTCCTCTGGAGAGGCAGAAGTAATCATGTAGGTTCTTGAAGTTATTTATTACATGAGAGTTTCAATTATATGAGCTCCATATTTTATTTCCTTTGGAATTGTAATTGTGTAGTTTGGTTGGAGTGGCTGTTTTGAAACTCCTTCTTCAGTACTATGTAACCAGTAGAATATTTCATGGAATAAAAGGAATTACATATATTGATGGTCTATGCATTAACCCTTCCTAAACGTTATCTAATTTAGTACTGCAATAACCTTGTAATGAAGTGAATATTATGGATTAACTAAATAGCCGAATTTCAGGACAAAACTGGCTTGTCCCAAACCTCACGTCTGCTAGTGGAGACGCCAAGAGCCAAGTCTTTCAGACTCCTAGTCTATATATTTAACTGCGTTGGTACTGTGTGGGTTAGGAAATGGGACAAAGGATTGATAGAGCAGTGTCTATTTCAGAAGTCTGTGGCCACTCCCTTACCTGCTGGTATTAAGCCAAGGGGAAGCTGTGCTCTGACAGGACACAGGACATGGTCTGCCTCCATCCCAGCACTCTTCTGGGCTCTCAGAAGTAAAGCATGGGCCACTTCACTAGCAGATCCATCGCCTCCAACACAGACAACACTAGAGAAAAGAGAGACAGTAACATTTCAGAACCATCACTCATTATTCCTGACACCTTAAAACTACTAACTTTGTCAAGGTACATAACTATTTGGTGATCATGGCTGATAAGCTTAAAAGCACTGCATAGCCCAAGTTTACTTCATAAATGCAACACCCAATCATTGCTCCAAGGCAAAATATTTTTAAGTGAATTAAGAGGCATTAAAACATTTGACTGTATTAATTCACATTTAACTTGCAGTTGCTTGTTAATATCCCAAAACATATCATTCTCATTTTGTCTGTTAATGATACTGTCATTTGGAATTCATTTAACACCAACCAAAGTCATAAAATTCTGTTATTTTTTTCAACAAAGCTGTGAAAAGAGGAATAGCAATAAACAGGACTTAAAATAGAAAGCTTTCTTTTAAGGAACTGTCAACTACAATTAGTGCATGAAAGTAATTGTTGCAAATGTGACCTGTCTTTCATTTCCTTGCCATTGCGGCTATAGGGGTCTTCTAAATTTAGTGTGACTACCTTTGGAGTTTGTTGTTGTTGTTGTTGTTTGTTTTTGTCCATTGTAGGGCTTAAACTCAGGGCCTAGGTGCTGTTCCTGAGACTGTGCTCAAGGCTATCACTCTACCATTTGAGTGGTTAATTGGAGATAATAGTCTCACAGAAACTTTTCTGCCCAGGCTAGCTTCAAACTGTGATCCTCAGCTCTCAACCTCCTAAGTAGCTAGGATTACAGGTGTAAGCCACCAGTACCTTTTAGTAGAGATAAGATTGCTGATATATTTTTTGATTTCATGGTAAGTACACTTTAGGTGTAAGGACCCACAAACTTAATATATTCATGTTAATTACTTGTACTTAAACATTAAATATAATTTTATGAAAATGTCATCAACTACCCAAAAGAAGTGAATGATTTTGTGTTATTGAAAGTAGGTACCAGTAAGAATATGTTATGAGTCTGCTTGGAAGAGCATGGATGAAATTAGGAAAGCACCCTTTTGTAATAGCCCCACAAAAAATAAAATAACCTAGGAGTTAACTAAAGAAGTGAAGGACCTCTATGATGAAAACTTTAAAAACCTGAAAAGGAAAATTAAAGCAGAAATAAGGAAGTGGCAAAACCTCCCATGCTCCTGGATTAGAAAGATCAACATCGTGAAAATGGCAATACTTCCCAAGGCTATCTACAAATTCAATGTACCACGTGAATTTTGTTTCTTTCATACCTTCTTCCCCCCAGTATAATCTCTGCTTTCACTGTATTTGATTCTGATACCCTGCATCTTATATATACAGTTTTCTAATTTGGGAAGGAGAAAGTAAATAACAAAATGCTGAAATAAGGATACAGGTTGACTCATTGCAACAATGAGATGTGCAACATACTATGTTGAAAATGAACTTTACAACATCAGGGGCAGGGGGTGGGGGAGAGTTGGGGAGGTGGGAGGGAAGGGGTGGTAGGAAGAAGGAAAGGAGGGGATAACAATGCTGGATAGGAAATGTACTCATTACCGTACTCACGTAACTGTAACTCCTCTGTACAATATTTTTACAATAAAAAATATAGATGGAAAAAATAAGAGTCTACAGAGTAACAGTTCTCAACTATAGCCTATTCATATCATGTGAGAAGCAGCGAAAAACAGAGCTTCTGGAGAAACCAGAGATTTCATGGTGAACCTTCTAATTTATAGGCACTAGAACCCAACATCCATTGCATTTAGACAAACTATGTGCCCACCAAGGAAATGCTACAGGCTAGAATCAACAAAGGTTACTTGTTCCTTAAATTTAGGAAGCTGCAAAGATAGAGAGCAGAAACTGAAGCATATTTCTCATCTGTTTCCCCAGCATCCTTCCAGCCTCTACTCCCCTCATCCCTTCTGGTTAACACTTAGAGCTCTGCATAGCCTGGAAATCCAGGACCACTCTGTTTAAAAGAAAGCCAGCTCTGTTTAGGTTAGAGGCACTATTATGTTTACTATTATTACTACTGGTGTTGTTGCTATTACTAATGTCTAACCTGATTCCAGAGTTTCACAATCTGGTGACCAAATCATAGGAAGGAGATAACATTTACTGTGGACCAACAGTATGTCATATAAAATGTTTATTTTTTGGTATTCAAGCCACAGAATTCTGTGCAATAGATGTTGGCACCATCTTTATAAGGAAGGCAAGGTTGGTTGAATCTTATCTGTTTGATTTGTAAAGCATCCATAGAATTTCCAAACATACTGTGAATTTAGTAAAAGTTTTTAATCTATGCCCATGCACACACTGACTTTTTTTGGGGGGTGCCAATACTGGGACTTGAACTCAGAGCTTAGTGTTCAGGTTTTTTTTTAATTCTTTTGCTCACAGCTGGTGCTCTACCACTTGAGCTATGCCTCCATTCCAGCACTTTTGCTAGTTAGTTGGAGATAAGAGTCTCTTAGACTTTTCTGCCAGTGATGCTTTGAACCTTGACTCTCAGCTCTCAGTCTCCTGGGGAGCTAAGATTATCAGCATGAGTCACTAGAGTCTGGCTGCATATTGACATTTCTAAGTGATCTAATGAACTGTATAGTCACCAAAAAAATCTAAGTTCCGAAGGCTTTGATTCTTACATAGGTAGGGGGGCAAGCATGTGACTTTTGGAGTTTTGTATCCAGTTATAGCACCATATATATAAACCTATTGCTGGACTTTGAAGACAAAGCCTTTCTATGAGAATTCTCTTCTATAAAAACCTGTGCACATTTGACATAATGCATTCCATGTTAATGTTTTTTGGAGTTAGTGTGAATGATAATAGTTGCACTTAGTAAATAATTACTATTAGTATCACCTAGTAAGTATGAATATATATATATATATATATATATATATATCATTGTTATGGATACTCCTCATGTATAGGTATTTAACCTGAACAGTAGCTGATACCATAGATATGAATAACTCTAATTCACAAACTAAGAGGCTAGAAAGAAACATGCAGCTACTACAGTAAGATGTAGAACTTCCTAACAAGGGATTTAAAACAAGACATTTTGACTTTAGAGACCACAATGTTCAGTATAGCTTCCTTCTTTTCTAAACATGAAATCCAAACAAAGCAGCCTTAAGAGCAGTGAAAACCAGAAAAAAAGCAGTGAAACCAGGAAGAAATTGAGTTAGGAAGGAATGTACTTATTTATATCAACAACTACCAGATCATTAAGATCGTGTCAATGCACAGCTATGCAACCTAAGGGATGTCTTCACAACAAAAACGTCATAAGAGGTTGGACTGTAAGAGGGGGAAATAAATCAACTTTTATATTAATGAAATAATTTAACCACACTTAAGCATTACTCTACCCCTCTCCTCTTAGCCGCCCCCCACTTCACAAGTATACATTTCCTGCTATTCATTTTGTTGGGCTTTAATTTAGTCTTTCTAAAGAATTACACTATCTTCGTTCTCCATAGATTCTATTATACTTTAGTTAAGTCACTTACAACTGCTCAGGTGCAAGAGGAGAGGGGTAGAAGAATGGATGGGGCACATGAGTAGAATATAGGCAATAATGCATTTTATATGCCACAGAACTGAGAAGAAGAAGGGAAAGGGTTCATCAAAAGGGGGGGGGTGAAGATGTTGAAGGGATGACATGGATCAAGATGCATTGTATACACAAATTGCTTTGTTAAATAGCAAAAATTCAATACAGAACCTAAAACTTGAGAAAAGTGAAGTAAGGGGTGGGGTGGGATGCGTGGATGAAAATATTAAAAGAGATGACATTAACCCAGAAACACTTTATTAATAAACTGCCATAAACTGCTCTGCTGAATGGCAACTCTTTTGTATAACTACCTAACGAAAATAAAACATTAAAGAGTTATTCTAAGCCAGATGCTTCTGGCTCACTCTTATACCCTTAGCTACTCAGGAGTCTGAGATTTGAGGATCAAGGTTTGAAGCCAGCCCAGACACAAAAACCCTTGTGGAAGTTCTTGGGGAAGATAAAAGCCTGTGCCTTTGGTAAAAGTATAGACAAAATCTTTTCAACTCTTTTCTTGCATCCAGGCCAGTGCTATATGACAAAAATAATTCACACACATTTTTAATCTTGCACATATCCATTACCACAAAAAGTAACCTCCCCCCCAAAAAGTATCTTTTATTCTTAGACATCAGTACAGGACATTAGCAAATCATCTCACTTAACTATTTTAACAGCTATGAAATGTATGTCACCTGCTTTGTTTTTGAGGTTTACATGCCAGTGAATAATATCTGCATTTCCAACAATGTATCACAATCAACGGTTTCTAGTTCTACTATAAATAACACACCTAGGTAAGAGTCATTAAATTAAGGGGATTATTGAAATCAGCATCTTTTGCAGCTCATGCCTATAATCCTAGCTAGTCAGAAGACTGGGGTCTAAGAATTGTGGTTCAAAGTCAGCCCATTTAGAAAAGTCTGTGAGACTCTCATCTCTAATTAACCACCCAAAAAGCAAGAAGTGGGTCTGTGGCTGAAGTGGTAGAGTGCTATCCTTGAGCAAAAAAGCTCAGAGACAATGGCCAGGCCTTGAGTTTAAGCCCCAGACTGGCACTAAAGGAAAAAAAATAGTGTATTTTATTCCTTCTGAAAACAGCAGCTTTATTGTTACAAGACACTTACTGCAGCAATCCAGAGCAAAAATAGCTAATGGATAGCTTTAATGCTGCCAATTAACTTGCAGAAGAGGAACACAGCATAGTTACGCCATACAATCATCACAATGTGTCCTACTAATGTTCTTGATACATGGTAAAAACAAACACTCCAAATTATAAAAGCAAGTGTATATACGTTATGAAGAAGGCAGTCTAATATAGTTTCTGAACATTTACACCTTAGCTCTTCTTTTCCTTTCCTTTTCTTTTTCTCCTTTAACTTGAAAATACATTTATTTCTCAAAATGACCACAACATATCCCAGTGAATATTTTCTATAAGAAGTTAGCTTCTAGATTAAAGTCTAGGTCTCATCAGAGATAATGCGGGGGGAGAAGGGGGTAGAAGGTAAGGGAGAGATGTTACAGCAAAGACTATGATAAAACCTAAACCGTTATTTTGAGTATCCTGTGGAAACCCTATTTTGGCAGGATGTCAAATCAGAGATGAGCCATTGAGATTGTGAATACTTGGTAAAAATAAAATCATGGTTTATAGAAACTATCAGACACAGCTCCATTCTGGCTCTTGTTGCCTTCAGAACCCATCATCACAGGCCCCAATACTGTTCTATAGGTAGAGATCTAGGAAGCCTCAGTAGTTCTTTCCATGAATGAAGAGGCTGATACTCTGGGATCTCTCCTCATGGCTGTCATCCACAGCTTAAGTTCTGGAATGTGGGAAGCATACTCAGCTGCCGTGGTTCCAAACGTTCAAATGGGGGCCAGATGAGGAATCACAGAGATCAAAGGAATTGTCTATTTGCTAGCTAGGACCTCATCTAACTTGCTGAATTCTTTCTATAATTCTTTTAGGCCAATCTTCTTTATTTTGCCCTTTAATAAAGGTTAACGTCAAAGATGGCCAATTAGAGAATAACTCAAACATCATCTGTTGGCATACTTTCTCATTGGAGTCTTCTTCCCAGGGTATGTACTCACAAATGATGGCAGACTCAAGATAAAGTGACTCTGACTGGTTTCCAGAACTGGCACCAGACCAAGAGGACTCTTTGTAAAAAACCACTCAGGCATATTTATCAGGTTGATATTGATGACTTCATGCCTGATTCCCTTGGCCTGCAGGAATAGCAGGATCCTCAGAGAGTGAACCTCATGCTGTAAAGGGGGATCTTGCCTTTGGAGACAGGCCCCAAGGGCTTGCTACCACTTCCTTTGGGAGCAGGGCAGGACTGGTCTCTTCACATTCCTCTCTCCAGGGACGGATTGAAAATGCTCTGGTTGTAGTTAAAGGAGGGAAAGCACTTTGCAAAAGCAAGATTAATATAAACAATCTCAGTATCCACTCAACCATGACCTGCACTTCTAATCCTGCTTCTCTGCTCTACATTTCTTCCTTTTGTTGTTGTTGTTGTTGTTGTTGTTGTTGTTCCAGTCCTAGGACTTGAACTCTAGATCTGAGCTTTTTCACTCAAGTGCTCTAGTGGTTAAGCCACAGCTCTACTTCTGGTTTCTCTTTTTGCTTTTCTATGCCACATTCTGAAAAGTGAATGATCATGCCAGATCATATTTGTTGTTATTATATAGATGTGCACAAAGCCAAACCTGATTACATACATCACAAGTATTTAAAAATCATAATTCCCAAATACATGACAAAAGCTACAAAACATTTAATGGTATACACTATATGATACAGATGAATAATATAACCTACCCATCAAATCCCTGGAGTTCACATTCCTTAAGCAGTGAAACAGCATGCCCTTCATATTCTGTGACTATCAAAAAATAAAAACACAAAGACGAAATTTTTAAATACTGATCAATACTTGGCAACTTGGTTTGGCAAGATAATGTGATTACCAAATAGTTATGTCATAAAACAATATTTATTACTGAGTATTTATATTTTAATCATAGCAAAGAGGATTAAGCATTAGGTTTTATAGTTTTATGTAAAAGAGGGCATGCATTGGTTCCAACTCCATAAGTCATTTGGGGATATCCAACACATCGTGCTTAGAAAATTCATCTTGGTTCCTGTCTGTTTAGTGTTCCCTAAATAAGATTAATTCCCTTTAAATCAGAAGCATAGGAGCTGGAGTATTTTGAAAATACAGCATGTTCGCTGGCATCGAACAGTCAATGTTAAATCGCCTTGGCAACCTTACATGAATAAATTAGTGGAAAGGTTAGTGTAAGATTTACATACCAGAAGAATGTATATCTGGAACTGCTAGACTCAAAAAGAATGTGTTGGATGTGAAAACACAAAGTAAAGCCAACCCTAATGAGAAGAGACCCAAACCCATGGGGAGGGTAGACTACCAGCCCAACAGAGCCTGGATCCTCCGAGGAAATGAATCTGTCACACCGTATTGCTGGCTCCACCATCACCGATGCCCGATGCAGTGCTGAAAATGCCAGTGAAGACAGGATAAACGGGCACACTGCAGATGGCACCAACCATCACAAGCACATTTAGCATTTTCTGGGGCAGCTCTGCCAGAAGAGACAGCCCAGCTGTATCCACCCATCAAGGATTTCTGCTGACTGACATGACACTGCAGATGGATTTTTTGTGTAAGAATGTGCATCATTATATGCAAGATTACATTAATCTTTCATGCCTGTCTGTGCCTGGTGCCAGCATGGTCCAAGCTTTCCCTACCACATTTCTGGATAGTATTAAAAATTATTAGTCTTGGTATCTAAAATAGTCATGCTGCTCTAGCAGTGTTACACTGTAATTCTCCTATAGGTTATTCAAAATGTTGTTAGCATTCCCATGAAACCAGCCCTTCCATTTTAAATTCTAATCAGAAAGATCTAACAAAACTTAATGTAAAATATTAATGGTAATAAAGTTACAAAGATAAGTTCTCATAAAAGAAAACTGGATTGATCATTCATTTATCACCATAAGCAACTGCAACCTTAAAATAAAAAAAAAAAAGGCTTAAACACACACACACACAACACACACACATATAATTAAAGATAAGTATAGAAATATTTATGTTGATTGCAACAATGAGATGTACAAGTCGTCATGTCGAAAAATGAACTTTACAACTCTGGTGGGGGGGAGGAGGATTGGGTGGAGAAGCGGGGAGGGGAAGGATGGGAAGGGATAGGAAGGGGAAACAAAGGAGGAGGCTACAATGCTTGATAAGAAATGTACTCATTATCTTGCCCATGTAATTGTAATCCCCTATACAGTATTTTCACACTAAAAATCAGGAAAAAATATTTATGTTGAGAATCAGTTTATAAAGCCATGTTTATATACCAAAGTTTACTTGGTAAAGCTCTTTAAATGCAGTACACAATTAGCTCCAAATTTATATAATTGTCATTGATACTTTAAATAAAATTAAAATAATTTTTCTTTGGTCTGAAGTGGTATTTGACTATATACTAGTGCAACCCACCCAAAAGCAGCAATTTTAATGGATACTATGCATGTTGAATACACTTTACTGGTCTGGAACAAAAGGATAAAAGTGATTAGCCAAAGGTATCAGAACTTTAGACTTTCCAGTTCACTACAGGGTTGTAGTAACAAAAACAGCTTAGGACTGGCATGAAAAACAGAACTAAATACCAATGTAACAAGTTGGAAGGCCCAGAAATAAACCCATGTACTTATACCCATATGGTTTTTGAACAAAGGAGCCAAAAATATAGGTTCAAAAAAAAGACAACTCTTCACAAACAGAGGGAATAGTGGACATCTGTATGCAGAAGGCTGAAACTGGATCACATTGTACTAGTTAGTATCAATTGAAAAATGGATCGAAGACTTCAATGTAAGATCAGAAACCTTGAAAGACTATAGGAAGAAGTATGAGAAACATTAGAACGTGCTGGCATAGGCAGGAACTTTCTGCTTATAATTCCAGGGGCTCAGCAAATATGAAAGGTGGGATTGTATTGAACTAAAAAGCTTCTGTACAGCCAGGCGCCCCTGGCTCACACTTGTAATCCTAGCTACTCAGGAGGCTGAGATCTAAGGATCATGGTTCAAAGCCAGCCTGGGCAGAAAAGTCTCCATGAGACTCTTATCTCCAATTAACTACTCAAAAACCAAAAGTGGCACTGTAGCTCAAGTGGTAGAGAGCTAGCCTTGAGCACAAAGAGGCACAAGGACATTGCCCAGATCCTTAGTTCAAGTCCTACAACTAAAAACAATAACAACAACAACAACAAAAACTTCTGTGTAGAGAAAGATGTAGTTACTACACTAAAAGACAGTTTACAAAATGAGAAAAGATCCTTCAATTCCTGTTCCACTGTAGTCAGAATGACTTTTTCCAAACACATTTGATCACATAACTTTCATGCATACAACACACTGATGTTTTTTCTTGTTTCCAAGAATGTTTCCACCTCCCTAAATCACATGTGAATGTTGGAAACAGATTGCCCATAGGTACTTATCACCAGTTACAAGATAATGAAAACAACTCTTCTCCCAGAACCATTCTCTCTCTCTCTCTCTCTCTCTCTCTCTCTCTCTCTCTCTCTCTCTCTCTCTCTCTCTCTCTCTCTCTCTCTCTTCTTTTTCTCTCCCCTCCCTCCAGCCCTTACCATGAAGATCTTAATTACAAAGTTGGTAAAAGTGAAAAGAGTAATGCTTCAGGCTACAAGCACCTTTTGTAACACATTCTTTTTCTTTCATCTTAGCTTGTGACTGGATTTCATCAGATTGCCTAGACTTCTGCCAGGCAAGATCAGGAATGACGTTGACATGTCTGAGGAATGGAAAGGAAAAGCTTCAGCTAGAGCATCAAAAGCCAACACACACACACACACACACACACACACACACACACACACAGGATCTGGTAAAGGGACAAAATGGGAAGTGTGATCCTAAAAGAAAGAAAAGTGACCCAAATTCTCTGACTTTCTAACAATTCTGCCTTGCCTTAACACACCAGGTAAAACTATCTAGTCATTAGGAAATCCCACAGCTCTGACAGTAATAATGGGGTTGCATTCAGAGAAGCCTTTGACCATAATAGTGATAATGACTTGTGATAAGGTCTAGCTCCCTTGTTAATACAGAATGAAAGAAAATGAAAGTGCCTGTTATGAACAGGAGAGATTAAGAGCAGAGAGGATATCTGTCTTCAGATGATTTGAGAATTCTTCTACAATAGATACTAGGTAGGTATATTTTGTGTTGCTGTGAAGGTAACACTAGCTAGCAGATAACAATTGTAGGGAGATACATATCAGCTCTCAAGTATTCCCCTTGTGCATTTTATGCATAGCACAACCATGTTAAGCCAAGAGGATTTGCAGTGCAGCCAAGGCTCCTGATCTTGGTAGATATAGGTGACCCTGGGCTAAATCAACTTAAAGGCAATAACATCTTATTGTCAATATAGATGACAAAATCTTTCCTAATGTGCACACAGACAAACTAAACCTGATCTCAAGAATATTAAAGATCATCATCTTCCTGCTTCCAATATAGAGGGCAAAGCCAAGGTGAGGTTGTCACCACAGGAAGTGACATATACCTGTACTCTACGAATATACACCTGATTACCATACACACAAACTATACTTCATGTACAGCTGCATATCTCCAAATGCACCACATTTTATACATACCTGCCTCTGTATCCACCTGTAAACCAAACACACCTGCCCTCTGCATACACCATACCTATGCACATCTGCACTCTATGCACTCCTGTTCTCCTCCACACATACCTGCACTCCATACACCCTGCATTCTGGACACACTGGTCCTTCATGTATACTTACATACCTACATTTACACCAGTACTCCTCTCTGCACATCTGTACTCTATGAACACCTGCACTGCACTAGATGAGGAAGGTAAACTACATGGACTCTAAAATTCTTTGCCCTCTGAATTCCTTGCAGCCTTGGCGTCTTCATTTGTTGTTCTATTAATTATCCAGTAAATCCAGGACTTCTAAAAACATCTGTTACACTGTAATGATACAGTCTGTAAAATCTCCTTTATTAGGGAACAAGAGAAATAAACTATATTTCTTGCCATCACGGGCTTATCATCATCCATGTCTTTATTGATCCTTGTACCAAGAGGTTACTAGAAAAAAATAATTCATTTTCTTCCAGTTTTTTTCCAGAAGGTTTTCTGATACTAGTGTTGAACAAAATGCTACATTGAAATAAGTGTGCTAAAGACTTAAAGAGAAACTTCTCTGAAGAGGAAAGAAAGATGGCCAATAGACACATGGAGAAATGCTCAACCTCCCTAGCCATAAAAGAAATGCAAATCAAAACAACATTGAGATACCACCTCACCCCAGTTAGAATGGCAAAAATCAAGAACTCTAATAACAACAGATGCTGGAGGGGATGTGAACAGAAGGGAACCTTACTGCATTGTTGGTGGGAGTGTAAACTTTTTCAACCACTTTGGAAAGTAGTATGGAGGTTCCTCAAAAGACACCACATAGAGCTCCCCTATGACCCAGCAATCCCACTTTTGGGCATTTACCCAAATGATCACAAACAAGGCCACACTAAAGCTACCAGCATGACTATGTTTATTGCAGCATTATTTACCATAGCTAAGATATGGAACCAACCCTGATGCCCCTCAGTAGATGAATGGATCAAGAAAATGTGGTATATATACACAATGGAATTCTATGCCTCCATCAGAAAGAATGACATTGCCCCATTTGTTAGGAAATGGAAAGACTTGGAAAAAATTATATTAAGTGAAATATGCCAAGCCCAAAGAAACTTAGGTCCCACGGTTTCCCTTATTTGCAATAACTAATATATGTCTGAGTCAAGCAGAAAGGTCAGATAAGTTGATGTTAGGGAAATGAACCCTAAGATATGTATTCAAATGTTTTTTTCTTTCAGGTGATTGTTTCTAACACATTTATAAGATTATTTCTTTGTTGCTTTGTATGTCCCTTCCCCATGGTATAACCCCTGCTTTCACTGTATTTGATGTCAGTATAATTTGTGGAGGGGAAGGGAAAAAACAAATCGTTTAAATAAGGATACAGGTGGCTCCATTGCAACAATGAGATGTACAAGTCGATATGTGGAAAAACAAACTTTACAACTTTGGTGGGGGGGGAGGAGGATTGGGTGAGGGGCGGGGGGAGGCTGGGAAGGGATGGGAAGAGGGAACAAAGGAGGAGGCTACAATGCTTGATAAGAAATGTACTCATTATCTTGCCCATGTAATTGTAACCCTTCTGTACAGTATTTTCACAATAAAAAAAAATGCTACATTGGTGATGTTGGAAGGGATGCAAAAATAATTAGCTCAAATATTTCAAGAGAATGATCTATATTCAGAAGGAATCAGTACAAGCCAAAATGAAAGTTTTATTAATGTAATGAGATTTGGTCAAAAAGAAATTTATGAGTTGTTTATGGGAGCTTATGCCTGTAATCCCAGTTACTCAAGAAGCAGTGATCAGGATGATTAATTAAGGTCCGAGGCCAGTCCTGGCAAAAAATGCAAGCACGGCTACATTTCAACAAAAAAAAAAACAAATCACACATGGTAGTGAATATCCAAATTCAGCTACTTGCATGACATAGATTGGAGAACTGCAGTCCAAGGCAAAAACACAGAATTTTACCTGTAAAATAACTGAATGCAAAACAGATTGGGGACATCACTCAAGAAATAAAATGCCAATTAAATTGCCCAGCCAATTCTAGGTCCAAAGTTCAAACCCTAATGCTGCCAAAACAGCAACAACAAAAAGGCAATGGAAAAGACTATAATATACACATCCAGGTGTAAATTTTCAACTCTGCCTGTATGTATACAGAATTGTTTTCTAATGAGTTAGTTATTATATAGAATTTGTGTAACTTGCATTCCACTTGGACTCATCAATATAGATATTGCATGTTAAATCAAAGATGTGTATGAAACACATTTTGCATGATTTTGTATATTTTTCTTTCAAATAAAGTATGAATTGAACTTTTATTATTGGACAATTTCATTAATATGAAACCAATAAACTTATGGCTACATTTATATAACACTCTCGGACACACAAAGTAATGTCACAAAACATCGTGGTAAGGTGAGAAGGAAGACTAAAACTCCTCAAGAATTCACATGTTTATTCAGTCTCTGACACAAAATAGGGATCATTTAAAATAAATATTTAGCCAGTAGATATAGTGCAATCATTGTATAAGCAATGGGATGTAATTTAACCATGTTGCCTGTAGGAGGAGTGTTAGGCAGGTAATAATTAGTCGTTCTGTACAAATAGAGACGTGAGTTTTGTATTGCCTTATGTAATAGACTAATACTTTGTGTTAAAGAAAAGTTTTTATTTTATGTTCAAATACAATATTAAATCATACTTACAAATATGGAAATCACCCTAGTACATCAGATTAATACATACTTTGCTCTCCAATTTAATTGTTGCATGGAGCAGAGCACTTTCCTGTCATCATTCTTTTTGGTGACCTTGGCTTGAGACTCCTGCACTCATCTCCCTTCTTCCCATTTCTCTCTCTTCCTTTCTCATCTTAATTCTATTGGTGGAGTCATCTTTGCTAACCACACTGCAGCACTGTGATTTAAAAAAAAAAAAAAACTATCTACAAACTGTGACTCAGTACATGATAGATCCAGTGCTGAGTGTAGCACCAAGTTTCACCTTTAGTTTCCACACAGGCTTCCTATGGGATACATTTGGAAGACTCTTCCTAGAAGACACTTTGCCCTTTTCCTACCTCACAGAGTCCAGAGGGAGTTCAGGCATCTTCAGTCTTCAGAAGAGAGTCTACCCTCAGTTCCCTGAAAGTGTCCAGGTTGTTCAGATAATGATTGCCTCATATAGGGTGCAGGTGTTATACACACTTTATACACTAAATATCAAATCACATTAGTGCATCTTTTTATGCCTCTTTCAGATTCAAGAACATTGAATCTTTGTCTGTCTGTCTGTCTGTCTCTCTCTCTCTCTCTCTCTCTTCTCTCTCTCCTTTCTCTTTCTGTCACACACAACAAACATACCTGTAGTTATGAATAAAAAGTGCTCTGCTCACTGACATGTATTTTATGAGGATGGGAAGACCCTATTTAAGATAAAGTCAAAACTGGGAAGCAATAGCAAGCTATGAAACACACACTTCCCTTATATGCGCCTGCTATCCTACCTTTCCTTCCTCACCTCCTAAAATGTCTGCAGCTCACATACTTTTTTCCCATCAAAGTTAATACTACCCCAAGACACTAAAATTATCTGTACCACAATTTCAATATTTAGTATTTGAATCCTAATAACCCAAGGATGGGTGCAATAGATTAGTCACCTTGCATTTGACAGTGTTTAACCCAGCGTTTATCAAGATAATGTTTGTGTGTTTGATCTAGGGTTTTGCTATATTGCCCAGCCTGGCTTCAAACTCCTGGGCTCCAAAGGATCCTCCTGCCCCAGCCTCCAGAATAGCTAGGACTATAGATGTGTACCCCATGCCTGGATTGTTGAACTAAATGATATATTGTAATATAAACTGCTTTGTGGTATTCACATATGAAACAATTATGAGCTTGCAAATAAATTTTCTCAATACTTAAATACTTAGTTATCACATCCCAATATGGATCTCAAATCTTGCCTTCAGCCATTTGAAAGTTGTCAGTAACAGTACAATTTCTCTCTCCTTTATGAATCACACATAAGCAAGTCAACAAGAAAACAATTGGAGGCTTTTCCCTCACAACCATATTACAATTAAGAAACTGTTCTTGTGTTCTCTCTATAAAAGGCAGACTGGTCTCAAACTCTCCATCTTCCTTCCTCGATCTCCCAAATGCTGGTATTACAGGTGCAAACTATCATACTCAGCTCCTTTTGATTTTCATGGTAGTTTCTCTTTAACCTCTACTGTAGCAGGTATCTTTTGGAGTGGCTGTCTATCCCACAAAACTTCCCCTTTGTTAGGAATTTCCTTTTACCCCAGTCCTTCAAGGACTGTTCTGCAATGAATTCATTTACATTGTAGAAACTCCTCTTTGTAGGTTTTAGTTGAGCCAATCAGGTCATTCAAATCCTACCCAGAAGCTTAGAACTGGATTCAGGAAATTCCAGCTGTATTTAAACTTGTCTCCTGAGTAAACTTATTATACAATATTCTTCATCAATTAAGATGTATTGCACCTTCCCATTGTATCAGAGCACAATAGAAATAAAATTAATATCAACCTTTTCAGTGAGTCTCCAGACCTAAGAAAAATAAATCTCAAGTTAAACAGGAATCTGGTCACCAAATTTATAAGCCTAAAAAGATTAATGCTAATCTTCTTTCTATTAATTTAACATTAGAGAATTTCTATTTGCTTTAGCACAAAGTTAAAAATCAGCAGTTAAATGCTTAGCTTTGACCTAGCCAGCAGGGGTCAGAGTCAGAACAAAAAACCTGAAGAAGGATTCCATGGAAAGACATTAACTTTGGGGTGGGGGTGGGGGTGTTACTTGCTGGACCTATAGCAGAAATGTGTAAAATACACATATTTCCCTGAAGATATCCAATAGTACAGTGTCATTTTATTTCATACCTTGTAACTGTTAACATCTGGAAAAGATTTAAAGAGAAAATATTGACATTTCAATAAAAGCAGAACAATAAAAGAAAACAAAATAAATGGGAACACTGGAGCTGGCTGTAGTAGGTTAAGAAAACACAGAAAAAACTTTTAGTTATTGCAGGTAACTTGGCCAGTTGAAAGTAGGAACAAATTCAGGTTACCTTACTTCCTTTCTTATGTTTTTCAAATGGTAAATTCTCTACGGAAGCTAACTTACTGGTTACATCCGTGCTCACTCCTGCGAGCTTCAGCAGAGGCTCAACCTTCTCATGATAGATGTGGACAGCTTCTTTTTTGTGGCTCTGGGGGTTGAGGAATATTTTCAGTGACTTGGGCCTGTTTGGAAAACCTAAGAAGAAAATAAGTAAAATTAGAATGCCTTGTTGACTTGTCATTTTTTCACCTTAAAATGACACACAAATCTTTCAAAAAAATCCTATTTGCTATTTTTATTCAAAATTCATACAAGAACCTAGCAAAATATACTGTTCTGTCTAAGAAATAGATTTGTGTGTCTTGGAAAAAAAACAAGAGCTATAAAAACAAAATAAATAAGTAAAAACAAAGCATTTCACTCAGGATGAAAGATATACATGAAGCAACTTCATAATTATCAGGTGACACTTACGTAATATTGACTAACTCACAGATGATCTATCAAATGTTACTTTCTCCTGTGTTCCTGGAGAAAGTGATGAGCTGTAACAAATAGAAAGGCACATTGCTTCTCTGGAGATGAAAATGCTCATTACTGGAACTGGGTCCTTCGCTGACCCCAGGGCTCCAACGGCCTGACCTGCTGCTGTTCCCAGGGCAGCACCAGCAAGCGGGGTGGGTCTTAGCCAGCACCCAGAGCAATACATGCTGGTACTAAAAAGAGGGTTTAGGTCAGAGTTCAAGCCAGAAAAGGGGGCCAGGGGGGAGAAAGAACTCTCCTCTAGGGACCTGGGAAAGCAAGGCCTCTCTGCAGGGAGCCAATGACAGCGTTACCTCCCAGTTGGCGCTGAGATTTGATACTACAATTTTCTGGGCTTGCAGGATGCTTATCACTGAGAACGCAGTTGGAGCAGGTGCAAAGCAAATTTTCTGTTGTTAGGAAGGGCCAGAGCCAAAAGAAAGCTGACAACCGTTTCTTTTATGGTAAGCTGCTCCCAGAAGACCACATTTCAAGGTTACAAAAGCAGTTATTAACATCTGTTCTTAATAAAACCATTATGAAAGATAAATGAAGTGTCCATTACACTGAAGTCAGTATTTTCTTTCTCAAATAGAGACAATATTTCATTTTCATTATATTTGATATAATAAATTTCTTTAAAAAAAGATGGTGCCAGTACTGAGGCTTGAATTCAGGGCCAGCCTGGGTGCTGTCCCTTAGTTGTTGTTTTTTTCATTCAAGGCTAGTCTTCTCCCACTTGAGCCACAATTCTACTTCCGGCTTTTTGTTGGTCAACTGAAGATAGAGTCTCATAAACTTTCCTGTTTGGACTGGCTTTGAACTGCCGTCCTCAGATCTCGGTCTCCTGAGTAGCTAGGACTATAGGCAGCATGAGCCACCAGAGACAGACAATAAATATCTTTTATTAGTGCATTGCTTAGAATTCAGGGATAGGGAACAGATAGAGCCATGCTGAACTTGCATATCCCTAAAAACTGACCACTGTCTCTACTGTAATAAGAAATGTTTGTCAGTCACTCAGTCTAGAAACCTCAATCCATGCCCACTGCCTCCATCTTCCTAGTTCTTGTATTTGCATGAGCATCTAGATTCACATGATGGCAACTACTTGTTTCCCGGGCTCCCATCTTTCTGCTGTCATCCTCTGGTTCTGGGATCATTGCACTGATGCCTTGACTCTGCTCCTTTGGGCTGCCTGCTCCAGCACCACAGCTCCAATCAGAGCCTCACATTTCCAAAGCTTCCACAGCTCACTGCTGCTGCAGAGCCAGTGCGAACCCCTCCAAGGGCACTCAGTGCCCCGTTTGTCCCCATCTCAACTCATCTTCTCTCCTCTTCCACATGAGTGTTCAAGAAACACTGAGCATTCCTGCTGAATCCCATCAGAAGGGTCACACTGTTAAGATGTGTCTCACGGTTTCATAAAGGAAGATACAGCTACAACACAAGCATCAGCCCCCACCACAAACTTGTTAGCAGAGAGGCATGAAACGCAGTGGCAGGTATGAGAGGAGAGTGGCTAGTTTCATGAGAGATCTGAAAAAATACCCCCAAAAGTTAAGTGGAGCTTCTGACTCATGGTGTATTCACTTCCCAGAATTCCTCCCTTCCTCACACTTCATCCCCCAGGCTGGCTGTACTGCCTAGACTTTCTACTCCTGACATGAGGCAAAAGCATGACACTCAGTTAGTACAGAGAGTTTTAACTTTCCATTTCAACTAACAGCATGTCTAGACCCTGCACTATTGCCAAATATCAAGGCTGCCTGGCTTTATTCACATAGTTTTCTCTTCCCATTACACTCATCCCCTTTTTGTCAAAATTCTACTCCCCCCCCCCCAAAGCTCACTCCATACACCACGTCCTTCCAGGAGGCCTTCCTAATGAACTGAACTTCCCCCTCTCTCTTTTCTGTTCCTAGTTCCCTCCACATACCTCTGTTACTTATTCCTTATGGATTTCTACACATCACTGCGAGGGAGATCTAACATCCTAGGACCTCTATGACCAATCCTGGAGCGATACAGTGACATGATGACAGCAGCATATTGCACTATATAGTGCACTATATGTATATATGTGTATATACATATATAAATATATGCTGCACTACAATATATTCAGTACATTCTTTACTACATCAAATTCTTTTAAACACCCAACTCCATACGTAGTATTGACACTAAACAAAAGAAAGGACTGAAAATCTCTTAGAATAACAACTAATCAATATATAAAGTCATTATAGAGTAAGAAAAACCATTATTTTCAGTGATTTGCACAGTTACTGACTTGGGTAATAAGCAGGTAGTGGGCGACAAAACCTCCCAGTGAGAATTTAGGGCAAATATGTATATTCGGTTAGCTTCTGTCCCTTCTCATGAGTCATGATTTACTCTAAATAACATGAAACAGACAACAACTAAATGCAAGGTGTGATTCTGGATCAAAAAAAAAATTACTTTGTAGGTCATAGGTCTTGAACTCAGGGCCTGGGCACTATCCCTGAACTCTTTGCTCAAAGCAAGTCCTCTACCACTTTGAGCCACAGCACTACTTCCCCTTTTCTGGTGGTTACTTGGAGATAAGAGTCTCACAGGAACTTTTCTGCTGGAGCTGGCTTTGAACCACAATTCTCAGATCCGAGACTTCTGAATAGCTAGGATTACAGGAGTGAGCCACTAGTGCCTGACTCTGGATCACATTTTTAAGAAAAAGTTGGAAAAGATTATATGGCTATCCTATAACCAAAAAAGACTAAGTGGGTAAACTCTGGGATTACTCTTTTTAAACACATCAAGGACAAGACTACAATTTAGACAGGACTGAAACCCCTGTCTCAGTCATGCTACTTTGTTCTTGCCATGAATTTAAGTTTTACAAAAAGCACTTTAAGAACACTTTAACTGTTCTCTCTGTATTTACTTTCCTTTCTTTCCAAGATTTTGACTTACATTTTAATGCATCTACATCTTTCTGTATTCATACTAAGTCTAAGTCCCAGACACAAAGACTCAGATGAAATATCTATATTGTTTACTTTACACCTCACCTGGTATCTCTGTCAGAATCCCCTCTTTCTACCTCTAGTGAAAGCAGTCTCAAAAAGAAAAAGAAAGGGGAAAAAAAGAAAAGTAAAATCTACTTTCACTTCATTTCTCCTTCCTTGTACATTCCCATATTTAGTCATAAATAATTGCATGTCTGATATGTACCAGACAGGGTCCTAGAAAGAGGCTCCATCTGTAAACAAGAAAACCCTGAGAAGACAGAAACAAGTAGGAGAACATAGAGTATGTTTAACATGGGTCAATTTGAAAGACAAAAATGAAATTCCCAGGGGCTGGTAATCCAACTTAGTGGTAGAGTGCTTGCCTAGCATGCATGAAGCCCTGGGTTTGATTCCACAGTACCACATAAATAGAAACAGCCAGAAGTGGCAAGAAGAAGAAGAAGAAGAAGAAGAAGAAGAAGAAGAAGAAGAAGAAGAAGAGGAGGAGGAGGAGGAGGAGGAGGAGGAGGAGGAGGAGGAGGAGGAGGAGGAGGAGGAGGAGGAGGAGGAGGAGGAGGAGGAGGGGGAGGAGGAGGAGGAGGAGGAGGAGGAGGAGGAGGAGGGGGAGGAGGAGGGGAGGGAGGAGGAGGAGGAGGAGGAGGAGGAGGAGGAGGAGGCACCACTAGGTACCAGTGGTTCACACCTGTATTCCTAGCTACTCAGGAAGCTGAGATCTGAGAATTGAGGATCAAAGCCAGCCAGGGCAGGAAAGTCTGTGAGACTCTTATCTCCAATAAACCACTATAAAACCAGAAGTGGTGCTGTGGCTCAAGAGGTAGAGCGCTCACCTTGAGCTGAAGAGTGCAGGGACAGAGCCCAAGCCCAGAGTTCAAGCCCCACCACTGACAAATAAATAAAAAAAAAACAAATAAATAAATAAAATATGAAAAAGAAATTCCCAGCAGGTGAAAGGGAGGAAAGGCAAAAATGGTCACCCAGATTCTTGAGGCCATTTACAAGAACTTCATCTGCTGTTGGGGAGGAGGAAAAGCATGGTGAATTTTGAACAATGCATTAGTGCAACCTTGTGTGTTAAAAAGCTCACTTGCTGCTGTGTGAAAGTAGACATAGAGGACTAAGGGATGTTAGAGTAGGCCCAACTGTGACATTCTAGGTAGGAAATGATGATTGAGTTTTTAAGAAAAATTTGACCCTAGAGACATTTCAAAGGTGGAGCTGGCTAGATTCTTCAAATGCTCTGCATACATACTATCTGAAAGAGAAATAATGATGAACAGTCAGATGTTTTTTCGATAGGGGAAAATGAGGACCTAGGTAAACATAAAAATGAGGAATAAATTGGCAGACTCAAGTTATGGTCTCAAAGGGGTTGAAGGATTTTAGGAGGGAGAAGATCAGTTGGGCTCAGAAGATCAGCTGGGAGGGCTGGATGTTTATTGATAGTAAGAAGATTCCATGAACTGGAATATTCATCAGAATCCACTCCCACAAATACATGGATTTTGGGACCACCAGTCTGAGTTGGGAATTTGTTTGGAACAGGTTCAGGTAATGCTGATGATACTTGTCTGGGGCCTACTTGTAAAGAACTAGTGAAGTAAAATCATGACTATGGATTTATGTGAATGCAGTAAAATGCAAGTCAAGATCTTTGAA